GGCCTCTCTAGTCAGCTGGGTCCATAGTTATCTGCTTTCAAACAGCTAAGATCATTTCATTATTGTGTTTCAGTCTCCTTTTTTTAAAGCAAGAAATAGAGAAAAAATGTGCTTGAGTTGAATCCACATTAATATTTTGTAATCTGTTATATTATTGATTATATTTATGTATATCATTATTTAATACTAGTATTAATATTATTACTCATGTAATAATACACAAGCATGCACTCATTATTATATGTAATTTTCCTCTTCTCTTTCTCTGTCCCTTAAATTTAATGTAAATTATATGAATTTATACATAGACATGTAAAGATGTGATTAGTCAATCGTTATCACATTTTTGGGTGACTTCCATTTAATATGGCTTGGAGATGTACATATTAAAATATATACTTCTACCCCATTCTTTTTTAATACTACACAGTATTCCACAGTATGAATATATTTTAATTTATTTAACCTTTGTCCTATATGATGACCAGTAATATCTCGCGATCAATTTTCAGGTCATAAGATGTCCATAATAATTGTACTGATGGGTTTTCACCTTTCTTTTCGTCTTCTTATGTTTACCTACTATATACATTATTTATTGTCTTACTTATACAACTATCCCAATGTGGAATAGCCTAGCCTTCAACTATAGCTCTTAAAGAGATTATGCCTCTTTTTACAAACCAGCATTTAAATTTTTTTTTGTAGTCTTTACTTTTGTACTGACTTTTATTCTCAGACAAAATAGTTCAAAAGGGAAGATATCTTTTCTCCATTTCATCATATAGAGGCCTAGGAATCTGAGTAATTCAGGAGGGCAGTATGTGTATATGGCCTTGTTTAAGGAATGGCGCATGGGGATTCTGATGTCCAAAATTTGCACAGTAGTTGTTTCTTTGGGTTGAAGCTTATATATTTTTTTATGTTTTTTTTTTTTTTATTTTTGAGAGAGCACACATGTGCGGACACACGCATGTATGTGAGTGGAGGACGGGCAGGGAGGAGGGGACAGAAGATCCAAAGTGGCCTTCATGCTGATAGCAGAGAACCTGATGCAGGGCTCAAACTCACAAACCACAAGATTATGGCCTGAGCCGAAGTCAGAAGCTCAGCTGACTGAGCCACCTTAGCACCCTGTGGCTTATCTTTAAAATACCTGTTAAAATACAACATTGGAGGTCAATAATTATGCAAGTTTTAATGATGACAGAGGAATCGCTAGAAGCTTTAAAATAGAGCGAGTACAACACAGAGTGTTCCTGAACACTGGCAAATCCTAAAAGATATTAGAAGTCGAGTATAGAGTTAGAATCTGAGCGTTTCCATTTGCCACTCATCTTCTGCATCTGAGATGGACACACTCACTTTATATTTGGGGTGGCTTTAATTCTTTATCAAAGACAGTATGGCAAAAGTGTGGCCTGGCTGACCCCACTACTTAAAGTGGCCACTCTTCCTAGTCCATTGTTATTATAGTTTCCAAGGGTGATATGGCTGTCTCCCCCTTAACTCCTCACAAATGTGCAAGCATATACCTGCAACACACACACACACACACACACACACACACACACAAACAGCTAAGAAGTGATGTTTCCCCAAGTCCCCCAAAAGGTACCTCATTGCCTCTGGTATGTCCAGCTTGATCTTGAGTAAACTCATACTCACAGGATACAGTTTGTTACATGTGGAGTCGGGAAATCTGTCTTGTTTGAAGGATGTAATTTCACAGCAGGGTCTTCTTAAATGGTTTGCACTGTGTGGAGTCCCAGGCTATTTCTGAAGGAGAACATAATCACAAGTTTGAGACCCAAGTGAACAATGTCTGCTTAGCTGCAGCTGATCAGATGCACAGCAACTGAAACTAGTTATCAGAACTTCCTCAAGTTGCCGAATAAATTATGAACTCTGGGAATTCAGACTTTTGAAAAGAAGACAAATCATGGGAAGGGAATACCTGCTCTGGATGGAAAACTTTTTATCTCATCAATTGCTGAATAGCTGAAAACTCCCCCAGAATATTTTCCTGAGCAAAGTCTTTGGTTCCTTCCTGTGTTTCTACATTAACCTTTTTTTTTTTTTTTTGTCCTTTGTTTTCTTTTATTTTCTTTCATTAGAAACTCTGTATTTAGATTTGGACAGAGCAGAGGAGAAGCAGATGGTTAGGAGACAAAATGGACCAAATTCCAGTTCCTTTTTTTTTTTTCTTAATCTGAGTAGAATCCTATTTCCCACCTATATGACAATTTGGTGTTCCCACCTCAAGGAACATGTGTTTAATCTGTAAAATGAGAAGATGTCACCGATCCCATTACCTAACCATCCATCTTCCTTTTCTATAAATTTCTGTTCAGAATAAGCCGTGATCTCAGTCCTGTGTATCTGATGAAGGAGGCCAACACGTTCATAGTTAAAAATTGGTAGGACGTATGCTGTATGTGTCAAACATATGAACAGAGGCTTATGTGAATTAACAACAAAAACAAAATCAACGCCCTCCCTGAAGTTTGGGAATTTCCCCTTCATTTTGTAACAAGACCACCCCAGCCATGTGAACCCAAAGGGACTCTTCCACCCTCTTCTTAGCTCCTTATGTCCAACCCCATCTCCCGTGCCTCTAAAGTGATCAGTACTAATACTAGAATGTTTCTTCTGCAAATTTCTCTTATAAAAGTATAAAATGTGCAGATTACAGTTTTCCATAAAAAGGAGCAGATCATGCAATTCTTTGCTCACTTTCTGTGCTTTATACCATTCAGTCACAACCTGCCTGGCGCCTCCTTCCCTTGCACCTCACCCCTACTGCCACCTCCTCAGAGAGGTGTTTGCTGTTGTACTTAAAAACCTCTCCCGGGGCCCCTGGGTGGCTCAATCGGTTAAGCGTCCGACTTCAGCTCAGGTCTGGTTTGTGGGTTTGAGCCCCGCGTCGGGCTCTGTGCTGACAGCTAGCTCAGAGCCTGGAGCCTGCTTCTGATTCTGTGTCTCCCTCTCTCTCTGACCCTCCCCTGTTCACACTGCCTCTCTCTCTCTCTCTCTCTCTCTCGCGCTCTCGCTCTCGCTCTCAGAAATAAATAAAAATATTTAAAACAAAAAACCTCTCCCACCCAACCCCTGCTCCCTGGTGGGTATGGCGGGAGGGCAATGTCTCCATATAACTGTTTTATTAGGATATATCTAGATACGTTTTAAAATTTTATAGGAGAAATTCTCCCTCACAAATCTACTTTTCCAAAATGCTCTTGGCTAGTCTCAAATCTCTATTTTGTATCTTGTTTAAATAGGTTTCCACATAAATTATCAAGTTTGAAAAATTTAATATGTGTTTTTCTCACCAGTTTTCAGCTTCTGGACTTGTCTACTTATAATATTTTTGCTGTTTTTGATTGGCTTCTCTGTCATCTTCTCAACTTGTAGCTGTCATTGGTACTGAGTATATCAATCCATTATTTGCCATGTGTGGCTATTACCTTTCCTTTTTTCTTTTAAGCTTACTATTTTTGCTATAGAAAACTTTGCATTTTTATAGCTAAAACTACCTTTTAGGCTTCTGAGTTTCCAGTTTTCAATATAAAAATTTCTCCTAACGCAGAGATCTATTTTCTTGATTGTTTTATGGTAATAATTTAATTTTTTAACTAAAATCTCTTATCCAGCTGGAATTTTTATTTATATATGATAAGATTTAGTGATTTAGCTCTGTTCTGCCAAATAGATTTTCAATTATGTCAGTACCATCTTAAAGCAGCCATCTTTCCCCCAATGATTTGAAGTTTAAATATATGGCTTTGATTTAAATATATTCATTTAAATACATAATATGTAATACATAAAAATAGCTATATATAGATTTACATATATACCACATATGTATGTGTATACATATGTAAATTTAAATCTATTTCTTGCTCCATGTTTTTATACCCCTCACCTATTTGTCTCATCTTATATATATATTCTTATATTTTTATATGTCTCTCCATATAACTTTCATTTTGGTGCTTCTAGATAAATGTTAAAATCTTATAAGGTAAATTCTTCCTCACAAACCTATTTTTCCAAAATACCCTTGACTAGTCTCAAATATTTATTTCATATGATTTTAAAAAGCATTTCTTTAAATTAAACGTGCCAGCATTATGCATCAAATCTGGCTTTTGGAAGCAGACCCATCTGGCTGCCCTGTAGGGGATGAATTGAAGTAAGGAGGGGCGAGTGGCAGGGAGATGTTTAGCGGGTGGCCCAGTAATCCAGGCAAGCCAGGAGACAGCTCGGACAGGGACGGCAGGCAAAAGCCATTTCCACAACCAGATCAGCTGAACTTCGCCCTTTAGATGTAATGTACAAAGAAAAGTGAGCCCCACTATTCGACAGGAGGACTAGACAAATATAAATCCTTTCCCAGAGTGAGGACAAAGAGGAAGAAGTCAGTTTAGCAGTGCACAGGAGGAAAGAAGATATGTCCATTTGTGGATAGGCTGGGTTTGATGCATGAGGGTTACCTGTGGGCAGACAGAAATTGGTGTTGATGATATTAATCATTTGGGCAATTTAAAAATCTTTCAGAAGAGGTTTTCAAATAAAGGACTTGAGCTTTTCAGACATACTTTAGTCTTTATTCGCTTTCTTGTGAGGCCTTACTTTCTTCTGACTCATTCCTACTTTGGCAGCTTGAGGGCAGATTATTGTAAATAATCACAGAATGAGGTATCTCTTCTTATAAAGTGGAATTCTGTTCAGATGAGGTAAAATGTCAGTTTTTGAAGATATGTGTTCCCCTTTCATAGGAATATTTTCCTACAAATATTACATATGAATGGCTTTATACTAGCTTTACAAAGCTTCATATTGTGAAGGTCACTATTGTGTTCTCTCAATCATAGAAACAGTTTAGACTACCGGATACAAGCAATATTATCTCTTGAAATTACACTTCAGTTGATCTCCAGGTATTGTGTAGATAGGCTTCTTCTCACAGCTTTTTCATTCATTTGTCATTGCAGAACTTGACAGCCCAGAGGAGCTGGGGAAAAAGCGTATCTGCAGGATCATCACAAAGGACTTCCCCCAGTATTTCGCTGTGGTTTCACGGATCAAGCAAGAAAGCAACCAGATTGGCCCTGAAGGCGGGATCCTCAGCAGCACCACTGTGCCCCTTGTCCAGGCTTCATTCCCAGAGGGTGCTTTAACCAAAAGAATCCGCGTGGGCCTCCAGGTGATGTTGGCAAAGACTTGTTTCCTTGGCACATGTAGAGACTGTGTGAGCATGCTCTACTCAGAAGACCGTTGTGGTAACTCACCCCAGCAAAATCACTAATCAAAGCTGTGATTTGGGAAGCATTAAGCTAGTTCATGAAGTGTAAAGTTAGCTTAGTGGCTTATTAAAAAAGGTACACATTTTAGGGTTTTCTTTAAAAGTATCCCTTGGTTCTGATGAAAGATTGTTTTGTTAACCATAGGTTATTGGTCTCAGTATGTGCAACAAGAGCATCAAAGAGCCAATATACCATTAAAGAAACAAACTGTATTTGATTTGGTTTATAATATGCCATAGCATGAAAATCAGTACTAAGGAAACTTGCAAGCTTTCACATTTTGATTTAAGTAGATCATAAACACTGGGTTTTATCCAAACCCGTTGGAACTTGTTTTGGTTTGGAAAGCTAACTGAAAATCTTGGCAAGAATGGTCTTTCTTACATTTATTCGTTTCAGTTAGACCTATTGAAAAAGGAAAATAGTAAGGAAGGTAACTTACTTTGTGTTAATTAATATAGTCTTTAATATTCTTTTTGTAAGGTTTTTATAGAGTCAAGTACTCTAAACTCTGTGAAGGCCGTCGGTAACTACTTGGAGCTAAGGAGACCACCTTATATTTCAGTGATATCAGGTTCCCTTCAGCTCTCTCTTGTATTGAGTGTTTTACCAAATAGCAACAAAGCCATGAGGAAGACATTAGGTTTGGTAGTCTACAATTGACATCTTAAGTGCCTTTTTGTTACTTAACTCTGAAAAATCTCAATTTTGGCCTGGGCACACATTGCCCATGTAATGTTTATTGGATATCCTGCATAGGTTTAAAGTATACTAGACTCAATATTTGCAGACCTTTACTTTCAAGTAGACTAAAAGGCTTCTATGCCGGGGGTTGGGTTCCCTCTGTCACTCAAGCTCCTGTCGCCTCTACTCTGTGGGGAAATACTCACGGCTGACTGGTTCCTGCTACCCTGTTACGTTGTTTTGGTTCTTTTTTTGCGCCCTCCTGAAATAGTGAGAGAGGGTTAAGGAGAAAGACATTTTTTTTGGTTGTCTGTTTTAGGTTTTTTCCTCCTCACTTAAAAAGTCAATTTTCCAACGATAGAAAAATGGTAACTTCCACTGAAGGTCCTTTCTCTGTCTCTAGGCCCAGCCTGTTCCAGATGAAATTGTGAAAAAGATCCTTGGAAACAAAGCAACATTTAGCCCAATCGTCACTGTGGAACCAAGAAGAAGGAAATTCCATAAACCTATCACAATGACCATCCCGGTGCCCCCACCCTCAGGAGAAGGCGTGTCCAATGGGTACAAGGGGGACACCACACCCAGTCTGCGCCTGCTCTGTAGCATCACAGGTTTGGTTAACTTGCTGCTATAGTTCCCTTGATGCTAGCTATCATTTTCAGTCATTCTGTACAAAGATATAAAGCCTTTGAAACATCCATGCCAACTTTATAAACATAGAAAAAAAAAGAAAAAACATTTTACTTCTCTGTCACCTCATCTCTGTACCTTTTATCCCTGTACCTTTCTTTAAAGATGCAGAGATCATGACTCATTTAAAATTCAGTGAAATTAGTTCCCATACTTTTAAGTGTAGTATTAATAATTACACTCTTTTAAGGTTATTGAGGTAGCATTGAATCTCCTAGAGCATCTAGGTAATCTCTGGGGGACCTAGACAGAGGCAGTGGACCTAGCAAAACCCTTTAGACTACAGGAAATGGGATAGACTTTGGAGAACACAGAGCTGTCCATTGAACCAGGAGTAAGGAAGGGCAAAGCCATGACTCTTCTCACTACACAGTTCATGAGTGTAATCTAATAGACTAAATCTGCAAGGTTAGGAGAACACATTTTGCGATAAGCACGTGGACTCGAGAGCTAGTTCATCATTTGATCAACCTAGTATGATTTTTAAGAGAAAGTCCTAGATTAAGATAGGTTGTTTTTTGTTTCTGTGTGTAGTTTTAATGTCTGATTCCTCTTTTTACAGTGGAAAATTAAATGATTTAGGCAGTAAAAAATGAGCCGCTTCTTAACTTTCTTGATAGTTCTTGTCTTTTTTTTTTAAATTAAAAAATAAGACAATTATATTGTCTGTCTGAACAACTAATCTTTGCACCTATAAATTGCACTTACAAAATGTGCTGTATAGCTTGTGATTGCCCCAGGTTTAACCCATTCATTAGTAGCCAGACAAATTAAAAAAATTATTTTTGAAAAGTATAGTATCTTACAAGAAGATCACTATCAGGTAGCAATAGTGCCAGAAGGAGAATAGAGGATAGAAGGAGAATAGAGAGGAAATCTACCTTTAGGGCATGCCATTAATTGAAAGTTGTCAAAGTTTTGCAAGTTCCAGCTATGCAGGGAGAACCAGATGGTGAAGATTTTACAAGGAGTGTCTTCCATGATGAAGTCAACGTATCTGCTCTTGTTCTCTCAGGAGGCACCTCGCCTGCTCAGTGGGAAGATATCACAGGAACTACACCTCTGACATTTATAAAGGATTGTGTCTCTTTTACAACCAATGTTTCAGCCAGGTATGGAAATAAAGGATTCCCAAAAGCATTAAGGAATTTGGAAAAGTAAAAGTTTTTGTGCTCAATACCACTGGTATGATTATTTTTCTAAATTTTGATGGTGACCTTGGGCCTAACTCAGAAATTTAAAATTCACTGCCATAAGTCATTTTATCCAGTTCGCACAAGGAGCTGTACGGTGCTACAGTTGCTTCTGCTAGTTCTCAGCAATTTGTAAAAAACCTATTTCTGTTGATTGTTATGGAAATCTGGCCCCATTTGCTCACGGAAGATAGCAACTTGTTTTTAATTTTTATACTCTCAAAGAAAAAAGATGATAGGATTTCCATGTTTTCTTCTATAAAATCCTTATTCCTTCTAATGTAAAGTAAGAGATTAAACTCTTAAGCAGAAGTAGAAAGGAAGGCTCATCATGGGTAAGTATATGAGGGGAATAAGAATCTGAGGGAAAGACAAGACAGAAAAAAAAATCCTTAATATCTCCTCAGCAAAAGTATAACAAATAACAGATGTAAACCTTCTGTAAACTGAGTAAGCATCATTACTGTTTGCTTAAATGAACAAGTTAATGTTTTGGTATAATTTCCTTATATGCTTTACCTTTTTAATGATGAACTTTTTTAGGATTTTGCTAAAATCATCTCATTTTCACACTTCTATGTTTCTCAGATTTTGGCTTGCAGACTGCCATCAAGTTTTAGAAACTGTGGGGTTAGCCTCACAGCTGTACAGAGAACTAATATGTGTTCCATATATGGCCAAGTTCGTTGTTTTTGCCAAAATGAATGATCCTGTAGAATCCTCCCTGCGCTGTTTCTGCATGACAGATGACAAAGTAGACAAAACTTTAGAGCAGCAAGAAAATTTTGAGGAGGTTGCAAGAAGCAAAGATATTGAGGTACCTTGTTCATAACAAGTTTGTTTCATTACATTCCCCAGATATGGGGCTGAATTTTGAAGTTATATTAGCACTTACTAGAAATATCAAGCTCATGATTGATTTCAATTTTTGGTTAAAAAATTTGATATAGACTCATCCTCAAATGTTTTATGTCTCTTTGTTTGAGGTTATCTTGGTTAAAATGTAGTACTGATGAATCTACATTGTGGTCTCTACTGCCCTGTGGTAACTTGAATTCTTTTAATTTTATGGCCACTGTCTTTATTTAGCACATTACCATGATTTTCCATTTTCAAACTCGGTAAAAGTATTGGAGTCAAAAAAAAAAAAAACAACAACTTTCAAAGTCTGTGTGAATAAGTGATTGATGTCAGCACTTTCTCAAACATGTCTAAGGTTGCTAGAATAGAAATGAATATATAATTCTGTCTTATACATGTGCATAATTTGGGTTTCCAGTCACAATTGTTGAATTGTGAGCCCAAAGATTTATTTTTGTGGCAAGTAACACCATCGAAGTAACTTCCTAATAAGGAGACAAATGTGACATAGAAATATGTCAGTCTTTTAATATTATGTGATTTAAGATCTGAAAATTCTTTCAACTTAAATTAACATTAAATTATGTATGTCTTTTACTCCAAAAGGTTCTGGAAGGAAAACCTATTTATGTTGACTGTTATGGAAATCTGGCCCCACTCACTAAAGGGGGACAGCAGCTGGTTTTTAACTTTTACGCTTTCAAAGAAAATAGACTGCCATTTTCCATCAAGGTAAATCATCAACAGACTCCGTGAGTTAAAAAAAAAAAAAAAAAAAAGTGGGGAGTGGCTGGGTGGCTCAGTGGGTTAAGCTTCTGAGCTGATTCTAGGTCAGGAAGTGATCTCACCGTTTGTTAGTTTGAGCCCCACGTTGGGCTCTACTCTGGCAGTGCAGAGCCTGCTTGGGATTCTCTCTCCCTCCTCTCTCTCAGAACAAATAAAATTTTTTTTAGAAAGAGCTCTTAGAGAATAAAAAGAAAAGAGTCTAATGATTTATCCAGTTTGAAATATACCACCAAACTTGAATTCAGAGGAACAAGGTCAGATTTTGCCCGAGATCTCCCTGAAGGTACTTTTGAGCCAGGAAAGCTTTATGATTAGTGAAAAAGACCTTCTACCTTTTAAACAGCTAAATGATCATTTCTGTTTAAGCAAACATTTGTAAGACTAAACAATCTAGAATAATAAAATACATCAGATCTTGTTTATTCTTATTAATCAAATAATGGATGAAGTCCAAACCCTGTAAGTTCCATCGTAATGGAGCCCAAGGACAGTCTGCAGAGACTTCCTCCTCAGAGAACAGAAGGACATGGGACAGTTGTTTAGTGTTGTTATTATTTTCTCTTCTTATTTTTGCTAAAACGGAAGCCTTGGGGAAAAAGAAATTATTAGATGGGAAGAAAATGTATATAACCCAGATGATGCAACAGATTGCCAGGGTAAAACAAGGAAACAGCAATCCTGGGTCTAATCTGGAAACCGGGCGTTCTAAACTCCTCTGAGTTTACATGTGACCACGGTGGTTGATCTGGGACGGTTACCATCATCTTTTCCTGTTACTCTTCCTGCCTCTTGAAGGGCTCTGTAAAATAAACATGTTTAACCCTTGTACAGACCAGTATGCTCAGAAAAGTCCCCTCTATAACTGTCAACTGCCTAAATTCTTCTAGATTAGAGACACCAGCCAAGAGCCCTGTGGTCGTCTGTCTTTTCTGAAAGAACCAAAGACAACAAAAGGACTCCCTCAAACAGCTGTTTGCAACTTAAATATCACTCTGCCGGCACATAAAAAGGTATCTTTTGATACTGGTTTATTGTGACTCTCTTCCCCTGGTCTTGAAGAAGTGGGCCCTTGGTATGCAATTAAGGAATGCTCATAACATGGTTCAAGTTCTGACACTCCAGCTGTATTAGCGTCCGTGTGTAGATTGAGTCTTGTTACTGTGGTGTCAAGTTCTTATGGTTTGTATGATGGAGTCCTCTGTGGAGTGCTTTAGCTTCTGCTGGTAGCTCATAGATATTTATGCTTTCAAATAATGTCACACATTAATTTGCCGTGGATGTACAGTTCTTGATATTTTGTGTTGGCTTCTTTTGATTTGCTTTGCTCTCTTGATTCAGCTTGCATTTTGTGCTTTCTACTCGGTCCTTTTCATATCCTGATATTCTTTTCCCTGCTGTCCATTATAATATTCCTTGTCTCTGCAATGCCTCTTGGAACCAAAAGGAGACAGAGTCAGATCAAGATGATGAGGTAATATGAACACTTCTGCTTTTACTCTATTGGAGATAGATTAGAAATTGAATCTGTATGAAAGAAGTTGCAGCGGGCTAAAGTGTGGGAAACAGATTATATTTTGGCAGATCTTAGCATAAGTGAGGTAAAGGCTGTACAGTTTTCTTAAAGAATGGTTTACTCTTCCTCCACATAAACATAGGAATACTTCAGGGCATTCAGGAATGTGATCCCACTAGTGATTGGAAAAGTGGAACTAAAGTTCTTTCAACATTTTTAAATGTAGGAGCTTGGCATGTATAAATATACATTTGTTCATAGTTTCACCTAGTATCCACTCTGTGTAACATTCAAATCAAGACCATGAGAAATATATGAAATTTTATTGTATAAGTCACGTTGTTTTATGTAATATAAAATGTGTGTTCCATGGCTACTGGTAACTATTTGGTATTTAAAGAAAATTATCTTGACGATTTTTAAGGGTATAGTGGAGTGGTTCCATTTGGTTTTAAATGAGTTTTTCCTTATAAGGCATCTCCTAATATTTTTCCAAGTTATATCATAATTTGGATTTTTAAAACTCACACCCCAGTAATAAAAAATAGAATCACTATTTCTAATAAAACCCTTAACCCTTTTTAACCACATCTACACTCTATGCCTTTGAACATATAGAAATAGCAGCAGTAATCCGAATGAGACACCGTGTGCCCTTTTCCCTTGAATGTGCTCACATAGAGTGAGTGTACATCATGATATATGTGTTTTCAATATGAAGGAATTTGGGGAGATTTACTGCTCAGCATCAGAAGTCTCTGTAACGCTTGTCTTGTATTTGTAGTTCCCTGTAGTCTGCTGTGTTGGTGCTCTTATATTTGCTAAGTGATGGGAATTTGGTCGAGACAGTGGGTGGGACTATAGAGTCACAGCGGGGAATTACCATTTTCATGAAGAGAATCCATATGAAGAAAAATAGAGATAAACCAGGCATCATCCTACAAAATGTTTCAAAACTAAGTCGATGTCACAAGGAATTTGGACACAGTCTCTCTCTCTTTTTTCTTTTTCAGGCCGAGAAAGCAGATAGACGACAGAGCTTTGCATCTTTAGCGTTACGTAAGCGCTACAGCTACTTGACTGAGCCTGGAATGAGTGAGTTCTCTAACGCATTTACTAATCTATGTGGATGTTGATAAGAAGAGACATTTTTTCTATACAAACTGAATTTGGGGGTCATTTGAAAGCCCAATGGCAAAAGAAAAATTGCCTGCGGGGAGACTTTATCATGAAATCTATGTGATATTTTGTACATAGTTGAGGATGTGAAGCACAAACACCCTTAGATCACAACCTCAAAACAGTTTTGGAAAAAAACTATTACCTATTTTAAAATTTAGAAACATCTACTCATTACTTATCTTTAAAAATCTTGATTTCACTGTGATTGTGGTGCTAGGAGACAATGCACCAATGTTGCTTTAAATCTAGACTCAAAAGAGAAAATATTTATTTTTGTATATGTGGATTGGTAGAAAGAATGATAATGTAACTTTGATTTTCATCTCATTTTTCATAATATAGGTGGGTCCTTATACCTTAGTCCCGATTCTCTTTCTTCCCAGTTTGCAAGAAGTGTATCTTCCTACCTTCTTGAGGCACTTTTTTATTGATTTCTTATCTTCCACTTCCTCTCTCCCTCTCTGCCACCACCCTCACCCCTTTAGTAAATATCAGTTCCAAGGCTAGTCTTCACCAAACTAGCTAAGCCCTTTTCTTCTCTCAGTGATTGTTTTGGTTCATTGTTAACTGGCTTCCAAGTATCAGGGTATAAATCCATTCAGTCATATACACTCATTCCGTCTCCCTCCCCACCTCACCCTTACCCTTTCCCTCGACCCTCCAGAGAATTCATCACCCAAGAGGAGCTAAGACTCCTGAAAGCAGCACCATGTTTGATCCATTGGAAAAGGATTTTTACACAAATAATGTTATTGAATAATTTCTGGCTGTTTCTCATCATTCACAATTATTAACTTGAGTTCAGGGAGGATTGGAAATTTACCAGTAAGAGCCACAACTTTGGTTTTTCCCAGCTTTCCTGAGTTCTTGTTTCTGTGGGCCAACATAACATATTCAATGTGTGGCAATAAAACTCCAGTACTTAGCTTATATAGTCTTAGCATAATCTTCAGTAGCTCCTTGACCACTGGTGAAGCTTTTATATTCAGACACGAAATGGAGAGCATAAGAAAAATGAAATTCTACCACACTCATGAATGTTCTTCCAGATCTCAGTTTTTGCCTCTGGCATAAATGTCTAAATCCTTCCAAAAGCATAAGGACTGAAATTAACTCCTCTTATGCTACAAAGCACGGGTGGTATATGTGTATAAGTAGATGGTTTTTCAATATGACTAAATATCCTGAGTAGAAGTTTTCTTTGGAACACTATTTTGCCCCAAATCTAAGGCTCTCAGAGGGTAGCTGATTGGGACTCCCAGGCAAAATCCTTAAGATTTGGACAGGCTCCATGACCAGCTCCTTCAGATCCAAGGCACCTCTGGACAGGTGAGCTCCCATATGATTCTGGTCCCTGAAGTATTTGGGGGGCTATATGAGTTTGAGGTAAGGCCCATGCTAAGTCAACTAAATTTTTTCCACTTATGAAAGTGTTGGTATTTTTTGGTTAGCTTCAGTTATGGCATAGCATATTGATAGAAGGAAGAAGGTACTTTTCTGTTTTATGAAAGGGAGCATAACAGTGGTAAACATAGAAATGGAAAGGACTAAGACAGAACTAAAAGAAAACACTGAATTGGTGTTAGAATGCCAAGTGATGCAGCTTTTCCCTCAGTACCCTGTCCCTTCCACCCCCACCTCAACTCCCCAAATAAGAAAAAAAGAATCTGGTATAATTCAGCACCTGATATCCAGAACCTCCCAGAAATTGTCTTTGTTATAAAGGGCATCACAAAACATGTGTCACTTACGCATAAAATGTGTAACTGATCAGTAAATTGGCTACTTCATGCAAAGCTAAAACCACACATGTGGTTCAGAAGACTACATTGCTTGACAGAGCCAGCCTTCAGTGGTGAAGGAGAGATGCTTTCCCAGTTTCTGGTAGTTATAAAAATAAATTCTCTTGAGACATTGGGCTGAGCCCAAGTCGCTGAATTTAAGGAATCCCCAAACCTTCCATTTGCAGTATGGTATGTCCAAAATATATTAACCAATATAATATTGAGAATTATGACTAGGAGGGGTAATGAACGGGTGAGTTTATCCTCAGTTCTTCCACATGTCTTTAGAATAATATGTAAGCCTAGAAGAGGACATGTTCTGAATATTTGAATTTAAATGCACACTAGGAATGAAAATCTTCACCCTTGTGGGAGTAGCTGCTAATCCAAGGACTGGATTATAGCAATGGCCCGGGCACAGCATGAAGAGGAGCATAAAAGATGAAGCAGATTGTTATTTCCTCTTCACGTTTCACTATTATTCTGAACCAGTGCTTTCTGGGAGCGAAACTGTACTCAACTTTGACATAGACCATTAGCCCTTAGCAGGCATTCCAAATCTCTGTGACCAACTCGGTTTGTTTGTGAGAGCTGTAGAAGTAGAGAGGACTCAGTGTGTGTTTGCTCTCCCCCAGTGAGTGTGCTTACCTCATTTGTGTGTTTCTTGTCCCAGTGCCAGATGAATGCTGGTACTGAATCCATCTTTCCTAGTGGTAGGTCTGCCTCATGGCTGATCCACTGTTTGGAGCAGCCATGAGCCTCTTGAACATTCTGGGAAGGCACCAGAATTGGTACCTTTGCCATTGATAAATATGTATACAGATATATACTGGATCCCACTGCAGATACTTAAATATGGGGTGTTAAAAATATGACTGTGCTTTTTAGATTTTCCCATGATACCTTTTGAGAATTTAAAGTATGATAGATTACGGGGAAAGAAGTATCCGAAATAAACAATGTACTTTTCTCCATGATGAAGGTAATACCAGATGTGGATATATTTAGTTGCAGATGTATTTTCAATATGCGGTGTTAAATATTTTCCTAAAATCTCAAAAGGTACCAAGATTTTGCATCTCATGGAAAAAGTGTACTCTTCTTTCTAAATGCTCTTGTGAAAGTATTTTTAAAGTTTATATATTGTGCATAATATGGCATAAAAATTGTATTACTTCATTGGCTTGTTTGCCGTGATATAATGTGCATGATAAGATGTTTTCAGTTGCTTTGCTTGCTTATGGTAACCATGAACCATATTTTCCGCTTTCCCCCCCTCTGTGTGTATGTACACATGCATTTTTAAATCATTTCATATTACATTTTCTTTCTCCTCACCAAAAGGAATATGCTGCATGAGAAAAAAATAAATGCAAACATTCCTTTTCTTTGTTTTTTCCTTTTGAAGTTCTGATTCAGAAAATTTCTTGCTCTTATTGGCTTTTTATGGGTGTGAAGCATAACCGAATTGTGCATGGAAGATACAGATTTAAAATCCAGTGGCTTCACGGTTTGCAATCAGTTGCCTGTCACATTAAAGTTACTTTGGATTCTGCATGAAATAGGCTTGAATAGTTTTCTAAAAAAAAAAAAAAGAAAAGAGTTCTAGATATTTAATGTATAGCTGCACACATCGATACGGTTCTGAGTAGGTGCAATCTGTATCACCAAAAGGTTCAAGGAGAGAGAACGTTAGAAATTACCAAAATGAAAGTTATATGGTTGCACAAAATGAACATGTACCTATACAGGCAAAACAGAATGGCTGCTGATCTTTCAAAACCAGCACATAAGAAAGTCAATAGGAAGTAAGGGAACCGTTTTCCATTGTGGTTATTTTTCTCATCATTAATTCTTTCCTCATGTTTTCTGTTTTTCATTGTTGGCCTATTTGGTTGCTATGTGCTTTTTCTGTCTTTCATTTCCCATTGCTCTGTTTTCTGTTTGTTTATTTATTTATTTTTAATTCTGGATTGGTTATGTCCATGGAGGTTTTTTTTTTTCCTCTTTTACTTAATTGTTCGTTTTGCCTCTTCCATTCTAAATCATGCAAACAATTGTACTTGCTTTTGTAATATTTCAAAGTTTACTGACCAATTTTTTTCTCTGGTCTCTCTGTTTCTCAACCATTTTTGTTGATTTTTGTGTTTGATTTCATTTTAAAATTTAAGAAACAGTTGAACGGAGTACAGGAGCAACAAGATCCCTCCCCACCACTTACTCATACAAGCCATTCTTTTCTACAAGACCATACCAGTCCTGGACAACAGCTCCGATCACAGTGCCTGGGCCAGCCAAGTCAGGCTTCACTTCCTTATCAAGCTCTTCCTCTAATACGCCATCAGCTTCTCCGTTAAAATCAATATGGTCTGTTTCGACTCCTTCTCCAATCAAGTCCACATTAGGCGCATCAACTACGTCTTCAGTTAAATCCATTAGTGATGTGGCATCTCCAATTAGATCCTTTCGGACAATTTCTTCACCGATAAAAACAGTGGTGTCACAATCTCCATACAATATCCAAGTTTCCTCTGGTACCCTGGTTAGAGCTCCCACAGTCCCAGAGGCCTCGCCTTTAAAAGGGCTGGCATCCAATTCTACGTTTTCCTCCCGAACCTCTCCAGTGACTACAGCGGGGTCTCTTTTGGAGAGGTCATCAATTACTATGACCCCCCCTGCGTCCCCCAAATCAAACATTAATATGTATTCCTCAAGTTTGCCATTTAAGTCAATTATTACATCAGCAGCTCCGCTAATATCTTCGCCTCTAAAGTCAGTGGTGTCTCCAGTGAAATCAGCAGTTGATGTCATTTCATCGGCTAAAGTTACAATGGCCTCTTCTCTCTCATCACCTGTGAAACAGATGCCTGGACATGCAGAGGTAGCATTAGTCAACGGATCTATTTCCCCCCTGAAATATCCGTCATCTTCAACTTTAATTAACGGATGCAAAGCCACTGCCACGTTACAGGAAAAAATTTCTACGGCTACAAACTCTGTGAGCACTGTGGTCAATGCAGCCACTGACACAGTTGAGAAAGTGTTTTCTACCACAACAGCAATGCCATTTTCCCCACTCAGGTCATACGTTTCTTCGGCACCATCTGCTTTTCAGTCCCTAAGAACTCCTTCCGCAAGTGCACTCTATACATCCCTTGGGTCATCAATATCTGCAACTACCTCATCTGTAACTTCATCTATAATAACAGTGCCAGTATACTCTGTAGTCAATGTTTTGCCAGAACCAGCATTAAAGAAACTTCCAGACTCTAGTTCACTTACAAAATCAGCAGCAGCCTTGCTGTCACCCATTAAAACATTGACTACGGAGACACGTCCTCAGCCCCATTTCAATCGAACTTCATCTCCAGTTAAGTCGTCTTTGTTCCTTGCACCCTCTGCCCTTAAGTTGTCTACACCATCTTCTTTATCTTCCAGTCAGGAGATATTAAAAGACGTGGCTGAAATGAAAGAAGACCTCATGCGGATGACTGCAATACTACAAACAGACGTGCCTGAGGAGAAGCCATTCCAACCCGAACTCCCGAAAGAAGGGAGAATCGACGATGAAGAACCTTTCAAAATTGTTGAGAAAGTAAAGGAAGACTTGGTGAAAGTGAGTGAAATCCTTAAAAAAGATGTGTGTTTAGATAATAAAGGACCACCCAAATCACCAAAGAGTGACAAAGGACTCTCTCCCGAAGACGACTGGATAGAATTTAGTTCAGAAGAAATAAGAGAAGCCAGACAACAAGCTGCCGCGAGCCATTCCCCATCTCTGCCAGAGAGAGTGCAAGTGAAAGCAAAAGCCGCCTCTGAGAAGGATTATAACTTGACCAAAGTTATTGATTACTTAACAAATGATATTGGGAGTAGTTCGTTGACAAATTTAAAGTACAAGTTTGAGGATGCAAAGAAGGATGGTGAAGAGAGACAGAAAAGGATTTTGAAGCCAGCAATTGCTTTGCAGGAACACAAACTCAAAATGCCTCCAGCCTCCATGAGGCCCTCCACCTCTGAGAAAGAGTTGTGTAAAATGGCGGATTCCTTTTTTGGAACAGATACTATTTTAGAGTCTCCGGATGACTTTTCTCAACATGACCAAGACAAAAGCCCTTTGTCTGACAGTGGCTTTGAAACAAGAAGTGAAAAAACGCCTTCAGCACCACAGAGCGCTGAAAGCACTGGCCCTAAGCCACTTTTTCACGAAGTCCCCATCCCTCCTGTCATTACCGAAACAAGAACTGAAGTGGTGCACGTTATCAGGAGCTATGAGCCCTCGGCTGGAGATGCTCCCCCATGCCAACCAGAGGAGCCGGTGTCACCCAAACCTTCACCTACTTTTACGGAACTGGAGCCAAAGCCCACCACCTCTAGTATTAAGGAAAAAGTGAAAGCATTTCAAATGAAAGCCAATGGTGAAGAAGAGGACCACAGTCGGGTTCTGAGCAAAGGCATGCGTGTTAAGGAAGAGACTCACATAACCACGACCACCAGAATGGTCTATCATTCTCCACCAGGCAGTGAAGGGGCCTCTGAAAGAATTGAAGAAACCATGTCAGTCCATGACATAATGAAGGCCTTTCAGTCCGGGCGGGACCCTTCCAAAGAACTGGCAGGTCTGTTTGAGCATAAGTCGGCAGTGCCTCCAGATGTTCACAAGTCTGCTGCTGAAACCCCAGCCCAGCATGCAGAGAAGGACAACCAAATGAAACCCAAACTGGAGCGTATAATAGAAGTCCACATCGAAAAAGGTAACCAAGCTGAGCCCACTGAAGTCATTATTAGAGAAACCAAAAAGCATCCAGAAAAGGAAATGTATGTATATCAGAAAGACTTATCCCGGGGAGATATTAACCTAAAAGATTTTCTGCCAGAAAAACACGATGCTTTTCCTTGTTCAGAGGAACAGGGTCAGCAAGAAGAAGAAGAACTCACTGCCGAAGAGTCATTGCCTTCTTATCTGGAGTCTTCCAGAGTAAACACTCCTGTGTCCCAAGAAGAAGATAGTCGCCCTAGTTCTGCTCAACTCATATCTGATGACTCTTATAAAACATTGAAGCTTTTGAGTCAACACTCAATAGAATACCATGACGATGAGTTGTCAGAACTAAGAGGGGAGTCTTACAGGTTTGCTGAGAAAATGCTTCTGTCAGAAAAGCTAGATGTGTCTCATTCTGATACCGAGGAATCGGTTACAGACCATGCAGGACCCCCTAGCTCAGAGTTACAGGGGTCTGATAAGCGGTCCAGAGAAAAAGTAGTCACTGCCCCCAAAAAAGAAATTCTCTCCAAAATCTATAAAGATGTGTCTGAAAATGGTGTAGGTAAAGTGTCTAAAGATGAGCATTTTGATAAAGTGACAGTGTTGCACTATTCTGGCGATGTTAGTAGTCCAAAACATGCCATGTGGATGCGCTTTACTGAGGACAGATTAGACAGAGGTAGAGAGAAGTTGATATATGAAGATAGGGTGGACAGGACTGTGAAGGAAGCTGAAGAAAAACTGACTGAAGTGTCACAGTTTTTTCGTGACAAAACCGAAAAGCTAAACGATGAACTGCAGTCCCCAGAGAAAAAGCCACGCCCTAGAAATGGTAAAGAATACTCTTCTCAAAGCTCTACCAGTAGCAGCCCCGAAAAGGTACTGCTGACAGAACTGTTGGCATCCAGTGATGAGTGGGTTAAGGCAAGGCAGCATGGCCATGACGGACAAGGCTTCCCCAAAGCCGATGAGAGGAAAGAATCCAGTCTGCCGAGCAGCTCAGAGAAGAAGGTTCTCTCCCAACAGCCTGAGGACAGCAAGTCCATGGAGGAAGCCAAAGAAAGCATTTCGCAGAGCAAAGCACCAGAAGGGCCCCAATCTGGCTTTCAGCTCAAACAATCCAAACTCAGTTCCATTAGATTAAAATTTGAACAAGGTGCACAGGCAAAGAGTAAGGACGTATCTCAAGAAGACAAAAAGCCAGAGGGCCAATCCAGAATCCCAGTCAAAAAAATCCAGGAGAGCAAGCTGCCTGTGTACCAAGTTTTTGCCAGAGAAAAGCAGCAGAAGGCAGTAGACCTCCCAGATGAAAGTGCGTCTGTGCAAAATGATTTTATGGTCCTGAGGGCTAAAGAGGAGCACGTCCAAAGCAATGAAATTGTCGTAAATGATTCTGGCTCTGAGGATGTGAAGACACAGAGAACTGAAATGTCAAGTAAAGCAATGCCTGACTATTTTTCTGAGCAACAGGCTAAAGACTTGGCATGTCATGTAACCTCAGATTTAGCCACTAAGGGACCATGGGACAAAAAGGTCTTTAGAACATGGGAAAGTTCTGGAGCCGCTAACAATAAGTTGCAGAAAGAAAAACTTTCACATGTACTTGTTCATGATGTAAGAGAGAATCACATTGGTCACCCTGAGAGTAAGATTGTTGATCAAAGGAGTGAATTTATGTCTGTGACTGAGAGAGAACACAAGTTGTTAACAAATGGCTCTCTCTCAGAAATTAAGGAAATGACTGTAAAATCTCCCTCCAAAAAGGTCTTATATAGGGAATATGTTGTGAAAGAAGGGGAACGGCCGGGTGGATCTCTGGAACAACCTTCCAGGAGGGGTGAGAGCTCACCGGCATCACACATCCCGGTCAGAGCTGCAGAGGGACGCAGAATGCTATCTTCTGATATTCCTGATGGTTTTTGTGAGCAGCCGACATTTCCCCAACATGAACTATCACCAAAGTTGCCCCAATCAAGTATGAGTAAAGAGACAGTTGAGATGCAGCACTTTAATTCTATAGAAGATGAAAAAGTTACCTATTCAGAAATCAGCAAAGTTTCCAAACGACAGAGTTATGTAGGCTTATGCCCTCCTCTCGATGAAACTGAAACCTCTCCCACCAAATCTCCTGATTCCTTAGAGTTTAGCCCAGGAAAGGAATCTCCCTCTAGCGATGTGTTCGACCACAGTCCCCTTGATGGATTGGAAAGAGTTGCTCCACTAGCCCAGACAGAGGGAGGGAAAGACATAAAAACTTTACCTGTTTATGTCAGTTTTGTACAGGTGGGGAAGCAATATGAAAAGGAGATACAGCAAGGAAGTGTAAAAAAGATCATAAGTCAGGAGTGTAAGACAGTACAAGAGACCAGGGGGACCTTTTATACAACTAGACAGCAGAAGCAGCCTCCTTCTCCCCAAGGTAGTCCAGAAGACGACACTCTTGAGCAAGTTTCCTTTCTAGACAGCTCTGGGAAAAGCCCTTTAACCCCAGAAACACCCAGTTCAGAGGAAGTGAGTTATGAATTCACCTCTAAGACACCAGACTCGCTCATAGCTTATATACCAGGCAAACCCAGCCCAATTCCTGAGGTTTCTGAGGAATCTGAGGAGGAGGAGCAGGCCAAGTCATCCTCCTTAAAGCAGACTACGGTGGAGGAAGCAACTTTGGAGCGTGAAATGCCTACTGATGTGAGCAAAGACTCTAACCAAAGACCCAAAACCAATAGAGTTGCCTATATTGAGTTCCCCCCTCCTCCACCACTGGATGCAGACCAGATGGAACCCGATAAAAAGCATCATTATCTCCCTGAAAGAGAGGTTGACATGATTGAAGTCAGTCTGCAAGATGAACATGACAAGTACCAGCTGGCCGAACCGGTCATCAGAGTGCAGCCGCCTTCTCCAGTTCCTCCTGGGGCAGACATCAGTGATTCGAGCGATGACGAATCCATCTATCAGCCAGTCCCAGTTAAAAAATACACCTTCAAATTAAAGGAAGTAGACGATGAACAAAAAGAAATGACCACATCCAAAACTCCTGCTGACAAGGCTTCCAACCAGAAAGAATTGGAAACTAATGGATCTGGAAAAGATACTGAATTTGGCCTTGGCTTCGACTCACCTCAGAATGAAACTGCACAGAATGGGAACAATGACCAGTCCATCACAGAGTGTTCCATTGCTACCACGGCCGAGTTTTCTCATGACACAGATGCCACAGAGATTGACTCTCTGGATGGCTACGACCTGCAAGATGAAGATGATGGCCTGACAGAGAGTGATTCTAAACTCCCATGTCAAACCATGGAAATTAAGAAAGATGTCTGGAACACAGAGGGCATTCTGAAGCCAGCTGATCGCTCCTTTAGCCAAAGTAAACTTGAAGTTATCGAGGAGGAGGAGGGAAGGGTGGGACCAGACGAAGATAAGCCACCTTCTAAAAGTTCCTCATCTGAAAAGACCCCTGATAAGACTGACCAGAAATCAGGGGCCCAGTTTTTCACTCTAGAAGGCAGACATCCTGACAGATCAGTGTTTCCTGATACTTACTTCAGTTACAAAGTAGATGAAGAATTTGCCACTCCTTTTAAAACAGTAGCTACCAAAGGTCTAGATTTTGATCCCTGGTCTAATAACCGAGGGGATGATGAAGTTTTTGACAGTAAATCACGGGAAGATGAAACTAAGCCATTTGGTCTGGCTGTGGAAGACCGCTCGCCAGCAACAACCCCTGATACAACGCCAGCCAGAACGCCAACTGATGAAAGTACCCCAACTAGTGAGCCTAACCCCTTCCCATTTCATGAAGGGAAAATGTTTGAGATGACTCGCAGTGGTGCAATTGACATGAGCAAGAGGGATTTTGTTGAAGAGAGGCTCCAATTTTTCCAGATTGGTGAGCATACTTCTGAAGGGAAGTCAGGGGACCAGGGGGAAGGGGATAAAAGTATGGTCACTGCCACACCACAGCCACAGTCAGGGGACACCACTGTAGAAACCAATCTAGAGAGAAATGTAGAGGCACCTCCAGTCGAACCCAACCCCAGCATCCCGACCAGCGGAGAGTGTCAGGAAGGCACATCCGGTAGTGGCTCCCTGGAGAAATCGGCAGCAGCCACTAGCACCTCTAAAGTTGACCCCAAGTTGCGCACGCCTATAAAAATGGGAATTTCTGCATCCACCATGACCATGAAGAAAGAAGGACCTGGAGAAGTGACAGATAAGATAGAAGCTGTGATGACCAGTTGTCAGGGACTAGAGAATGAAACTATAACAATGATTTCAAATACAGCCAATAGCCACATGGGCACTAGGCCCCAAGAAAAACATGATTTCCAGAAAGATAACTTTAATAACAACAACAATTTGGATTCTTCCACTATACAGACAGATAACATTACAAGTAATATAGTTCTGACAGAACATTCTGCACCCACTTGTACCACAGAGAAAGCTAATCCAGTGAAAATCTCATCAGGAAAAAAGACAGGGGTACTGCAAGGACACTGTGTAAGAGATAAGCAGAAAGTTCTTGGAGAGCAGCCAAAGACCAAGGAATCGATAGGGATTAGGCGAAAATCCAAACTTCCCATAAAGGCCACTTCACCAAAAGATATCTGCCCACCAAGTCATATACCAAACATGAAAGTGAGTAAAACGAAGCAGGTCAGTCAATCTGAGAAAACCAAAACCCTTATTTCTTCTTCATGTGTAGATGTAAAGTCCAGAATTCCAGTAAAAGACACACACAGGGATAACGTAGTTAGAAAAGCATGTGCCACACAAAAGCAAGGGCAGCCAGAGAAAGGCAAGGCCAAACAGCTTCCATCCAAGTTGCCAGTAAAGGTAAGATCCACCTGTGTCACCACCACCACCACCACCACCACCACTCCCACTACCACCACCGCCACTACCACCACCGCCATAGTAAAAGTTAGGAAGAGTCAGCTTAAGGAAGTATGTAAACATTCCATTGAATATTTTAAGGGAATTAGTGGTGAGACCTTAAAGCTTGTGGACCGCCTCTCTGAAGAAGACAAAAAGATGCAGTCCGAGTTGTCCGATGAGGAAGACAGTACCTCAAGAAACACGTCGTTGTCCGAGACTTCCCGGGGTGGCCAGCCTTCAGTTACCACGAAGTCTGCTAGAGATAAGAAAACAGAGGCAGCACCTTTAAAATCAAAGAGTGAAAAGGCCGGCAGTGGGAAAAGGAGCAGTAGAAGGACTGGTGAGAACGGAGGCAGTCAGGTCTCTCGAGCACTCTTTGCTCACATCCCGGAGAGCGAGCGTAGTTTGTAAACACTTTCCGACTCGTAGACCCTAGTGCATGAACTGTTGTGATTGCCTGTGGAGTGACTTAACCGTAGTTTCTCATTCTGTCACTGTCATCTGTGTGTGCTGTCTATATACTCTTCTTCCTCCCTTTTAACCAAACGACACTGTTAGACAGCTAGGGAAGCATGCTGAAGACATTGGTGTCATTCAAGATGAGCAACTTTTTTTTTAATGTACTAATAATGATACTGTCAAAGTAAAAGCATAGATATTGAGATCCCATCATGGTGTTTTCACCAACACAATGATTCTGTAACTGCTGTCCAGTAGCTAGCTCGTCAGCATGTTCGATTCCATCACATTGAGCATCCATGTAGTCTCACATCTGGCCGGTGCAGGTGATAATCAAGTGAACCATGTGAAAAGAGAAGTGTTCATGTAGGTGACCTAGGACACATGTAAGTGTACAGTGTTAGCATTAGTCTCTCTGTAAAATCCGAGTACTGCTAAAAACAATTTTCCAGTATCGTATCTTTCTTGATGATTATTTTAATTAAGAAATTGTAAATCGTAGGTCCACAGAGTCCATGTGAACGGACAGATATCAGGATGGCAATAGTAGCCGATCACCTGGGACTTAGTTGGACAGGTAAGTGTATACACTCCTGAGTGAGACAAATACAGTTTCTAAATTTCTTTGTCTTTCATAAGAGGTTCATTATATAAAACAGAAATAAGCAACAAGGAAAAAAACAACAAACATTTTTGTCATCCATAATTCTATCAACCCAGAGATAATTACTGATAATACCTTCTATACTGTGTTTTTCAAATCCTTTTCAATGCCCATACACTCAAGAACAGAAATTTAAATCTCACTTTACCTTAAATGTAGGTACTTTCTTCAAACCACCATTTCTGGTAATATTAGGTAACATATTACCTAGTAGTAAATGTAAAGAAAAAACTGTGTAAGAAAAACACAGTTAAGCCCTATGATTTTTAAATAATCCAAAATTTTAACATGGTTTATACCTGTAGGCAGCTCTCTTAAGCAACAGTTCAATTAATCCGTGCCTCAGTTTCACAAATTTTAATTATTTGTGAGGTCGTCTTCACACTTCTTTATGATCTACACATGTTTTCTGTATGTTCATTTACCTGATACTTTTTTTCCTTTTAAGTGGACTTACTTTTATGCCCAAAGATTTATTTCAAAGGAAATCTTATATCACTCTGCGAAAGGAAGACAAGGATCATCTTCAATAACTACATACACAAGAAAACAAGGGAATGACAGGAAGCTTAAAATTTGAATTATAATTTTTTAAAACACAATACACCTGTATACATCTATTCAACCTACAAAAATAGTTGAGTTCAGTAAAACAAATGAAACCGTTTATGACCAGTGTGTGGAAAAGGAATATTTAGCTTGGTTTCACTTCATTAAAGATGAAGATAAAATTCTGTGTCAACTGGACAATTCTGCTTTGTAGTTTTGATGTTAAATGGGCCCCCCAAATCCTCCTCACATGAATCAGAAAAATTTTAAGTTTTGTAGGTTGAGTGTATTTTTTTTAACACACAACAACAACAACATAATAGCTTAAAATGGAAATGTTAGCCATTGTCACATCTAAGTCATCTTGTATACCCTCAGCGATATTCTATACTCAGGGAAGCAATTATCTACATGCTATTAAGATGGAGAATATGAAACCAGATAATGGCAAACAAGGTCAGCTACATTTTCTTCCTTTAAATGTCCTAAGTCCTACCCTCACCCCAACTTAATAAACCTTCCTGCCCCCTTCCACCCAGCCCTGCTCCCAGTCCCACTGCTAAACAACCAAGAGCTGAGTGGTCCTCTGAAAAGACAGGTGGTCTGCGCAACCCTTGGAAGTTATTGTGACTTCATAGCAATTTGTTATGTATAAATATTTGCTAACATAAAATTGATAATAATTATATTTTAACACTGGATATTGTAATCTAAAAATATACTGGAGCAAATGTTGATTTTGCAGTATTCTATGCCCCTAACAATTACATTATTTGCCTTAGACAAATCGAGTCCTTAGTCTATCAGAGTACATTTCGGGAGAAGATGTGACATAAAGCCATAAAATTGTAAAATTCTTAGTGGCAGTGTGTCTTTGCTCTTCACTGGGTCACTAGACAAAGGATACTGTTGGGTCAAAAGGGCTTGTTGGACAGTAAGGAGTATTGTTTCTTAAAGTACAAAAGATTTGAAAACTTAAAACTTAAATTTAACTTTTGTAATTTGAATTACTATATGCTCAATGAAGATTATTAGGAAAATTATCATGTAGAAGGGCAAAATTTAATTCTGTCCTTCAGAACCACGATTAATGTCTCAATGTACTTTGATTTTTGTATAAAAACTTTTAAAATGTTATATACACAATGTAACTTTTTGTTCTTTTATTTGTGATTACTGAGTTTCTACAAAATTACATATTCTATGATCTTGATTTTAATGGATAACTAAGATCCAATATACATACTTTATAATGGTGTTTTTGTACTTTGGGTCACAGTGTACCAGAGAGTCATGAAATCAATACATACTTTGGTTTTGCCTTTAATAGAAAAGAATGATGGGGGCGGGGGGGAATGTGTATATATTATGTGTGTCAAGGCTAAGTTTTGCTCCTTAAAGATCTGGTTTCATTTATATAAACATCATGATATACAATGTATTTCTTCTAACAGTAAGCCATGATCAAAACAGTTGGCAAACCACCGTATTAACATAATTAACTCTTCTTTTGTTCAATACTTGGGTTGTTTTCAGTTTTTTAATGGTACAAGCCTAAGATGAACATTCATGTGTATAAATCATTGTGTCCAACTCAATATATCAGCACAATAGATTTCCAGAAGTGAAATCACTTGACCAAAGGACCTGGACTTTTTTGAGCCTCTGAATGCATTTTGCCAAATGCTAGAAATATTTAAGCAGGGTAAAATCTTGAGCAATTCCCTTTCCATGGGAGGAATTTTTTCCCATTTATTTCTATAATCAACATAATACATACCTGAGAAACTTTTTTAATGTACAAGAAATATATAGTGAAAAGTAAGGCTCCTTCTCATCTTTGGCTCCTAGTTTCCTTCTGTCAAGGCAACTACTAGTGCTCACACCTGTCTTCCCAAAGACATTCTCTGATTAACAAGGTTGAGCATACGGGTATAGACATTGAGGTGGACACAAAGCTATCTCCCTTTTATTTGCTATACAAGTGACACCATAGCATAGACAACGATCTGGTCTGGAGTCATCATTTAACCTCCCAAGGGGAATTCCTAAAGTCATGTTACCAGTATCTCTGGTGCCATATTTATGAGTTGTGTATCCCTACCCATCTAATGTAAGATTTATGCAAATTGCAAAGAATAATTTGGATGAATTAAAAGAATCCAGCAAAATCTTTTTTGTACAGATCAAGAATTCTTTATAAAATAATCTCTCAAGAGGGAATCTAACTGTAACTAAGCAATTACCTCCAGAGAGTTAAGTCACAGCCTGTGTGTGATCACCACTTCCTGTAAAATGAAGCATATAAAGATCAAGGCTGGACTGGGTTTGACTATAAAATTCCTTTCTTTTTCTGTGTGGCAGTTGAACATTACTTTTATGAAACGTGCGATAAAAGTAGAATGTGAAATCTTAGTAACTCTTTTTCTTTTCTACAGAACTGGCAAGGGAACTGAATTTTTCAGTGGATGAAATCAATCAAATACGTGTGGAAAATCCAAATTCTTTAATTTCTCAAAGCTTCATGTTATTAAAAAAATGGGTTACCAGAGACGGAAAAAATGCTACAAGTATGCTGAAATTATATTACTTTAACTTTCACAATTGCATATATCCAATGTTTTAGATAAGGCTACTGTTAAGAAACCAGAGTAATCATAAAGTAATAGCAAGTCTTTTGAAGTTATACTTGTTTAATTTTAGCACTAATATTCCAAACATCTGTCTTTGGGAAGGTTTTTAAGAAAGCAAATAGTAGAGAATTTTTTTTTTTTTTGCATTTTGTGTTTAGTTCTCTCTGTGACCATCAAAAATGAAAACATCATTCTAGCTGTTAAATCGTGGGGTAGTAGTCAGAAGCACTCAGAGGCTACTGCTGTGGCTGGGGACAGATGCACAGGGAGAGGAAGAAAGTATAGGATGAAATCATTGAATCATTCAGCTTCATATGTGCTGGCAATGACTTTTCTAATATTTTTAGGTTTGGTTTTATTTAGTTTTGCTGGGGCGGTGGGAGGGATGGTGCCATCCTGTGGCCAGTGTCAACCCACGACAATGGGAAGTAAGTTACTGTGGGTTTGCCAGGGTCAACCTGACCTCAGTAAGCCTTTAAAATGCTAAGCATCAAATATGAGGGTGATCTATCTTGACAGCCTGAAAGGAGAGGAACATGTTTAAAATTTTATTAGATCCTCTTGTAACTAAAAGGAGTTTAGCTATTTTGAGGCCCATCTGCTTGACATCTTATGGTGGAATGAATATTGCTGTCATCACACACAGCTTCATGAAAGTGATTCTTGAGACCCTAACATGACTTCCCTGTAATGACGGGCTTTCTGAGCCCTCTGATATGGCAGAGCTCAGTCAGGAGGAGCCGAATAAACTTTAGGCAGGTCGAGAAAGCTGTGCCTTTGTGTGGATTTTGTAGTGACTGGAAGAAAATCACTTAATTGGGTTTTCAACCCTCTTTTCTCCTTTTTCAGCTGATGCCTTAACTTCAGTCTTGACAAAAATTAATCGAATAGATATAGTGACTCTGCTAGAAGGACCGATATTTGATTATGGAAATATTTCAGGCACCAGGAGTTTTGCAGATGAGAACAATGTTTTCCATGACCCTGTTGATGGTAATTGAATTTAGTGTTCATATTTATTTAATCATTTGATAAAATTTGAAAGCATGGAGGACACGGCAGCCACTTAAAACCAACTAAATTGTGATTTGCTTGACTTCATTTCTCATTTTCACAGCATTTTCTGTCAGACCCTGGAAATTAACACTCTGATAGAACAAACTTGATAAATGTCTGTTACATAAAATACAAATAATGAGACAGAAAAACAGAAGTTAAGTGTTGGTTATTCAACAGTTGGTATTTCAAGATTTTTTACATGAACAAGTGGAATAGAGAATGCATTGTGTTTGTCATTTTCATACTGACCTAAAAAACTAGTGAATTCTTTTATTCATATATTGGTAAGACCAAATTGTGAGCTATTTTTTACCAAATAACCAAGGTACTGGGTCAAGTTTAAGCATAGAGTATACAAATTGTTCAATAAAATGGTGAATTCCTGTTGGGAGACCAAATATTTAAGCGTGTACTGAAAAAGTCTAACGCATCACTCGAAAACATGTTTTACTTATTTAGCATTATTTTAACTTCATATGCTTCCATTTATTGTTTGGAAAAACTATGCCTGATATATAAAAGTCGGTGTCATTTCTCACTCAACGAACACAGATGTCACTAATAACATAATTCATTTTTTAATTTGCTTAATTTGTACAATATTGTCATTTTTCCTTCAATTTCCTATGTTAATTTGGGTATTTTTTCATCAAAGTATTAGGCAAAGGAAAATATCTTGTTATGTTTTTCAAGGTGTTTGTCTTCCTTTACAAATGGAAGTTTCTTCTGATAATGAATTTTGAGTAAAAAATGATGATGGTATGAAGGAAGGAAGAAGAGCTAGGGATATTTTTCTATTGCCCTAAGTTTTTGAAAATTATGGCATTTCCCCATTTTTAAACTGGCAAAGTTAGTCTGACAAGAATCGGTAACCTCTAGTTCTACAGATGTTATATGGCAAACATGGCAAATTCTTAAAAGGTTTCTGCTTACTAACATTAAAGCCAACAGAAAATTTAAAGTATATCTTATTATCCACATAACGTAAACACAATGGGCAATAATGTCTAAAGTGGTTTCTTTATAAGCTTATAAATACCATACAATTGGGATAGGATGCCTGGGTGGCTCAGTCGGTTAAGCATCCGACTCTTGATCTCAGCTCAGGTCTTGAACTCAGGGTCATGAGTTTGAGCCCTTCATTGGTCTCCATTCTGGATGTGAAGCTTACTTAAATACATACATACATACATGTATAGCATAGAACCTTGGAAAGAAAGCTTTCTTCAAGGCCTTATCTTATATGTGAGACTATATAGTGATAACCAATCTCTTTGTACACTAATGATAGACCATCATATCAAATCTGTATTATTGCCAAATTATAGTTTATGGAATCTTTTAATATTCTTTTTTGGGAAAAATTTTTAAGAAAACTAGCAAGCAAAAAAAAAAAAAAAGAAAAGAACTAATAAGCGTAATAACCCGAAAATAATGGAAATAGTCAATAGAATTGAAAGCTTTGTTTATATGTAACATTTTAAAATCAGAATAGCATCAAATAAAATCCCAAGGGCTTTTTGTGGCTACATCTTAATATTTTATATTTTCTTTTTAAAAAATTCATAGGGAAATCTAGGAATATGTATATGAAGTAAATTTCACTTGTGCAGATTATGAACCTCAGTTAATGTCAGCTAACTTTTCAACAAGATTCTGGCTTATAGGTGACTATACTTACCTACAGCAATTTGAATTTAGCACAGAAGCTAAGTTGGTATTTGTTATGGACTGATGGGAAAATTAGGCTTTAGTTTTGTAGACCACTAATTCAGAAAGTGTGCTTGGTTGCCTTTTTTTCCTGTCTCTCCTCTTGCTGGAACTTTTATGAAGCCTCCTTTCCTCACCATGACCAGACTATTGTTCACTTCTCTCTCTGCTGAAGGAGAAAAAAGTCCCCTTTGTCCCCACAGTGAAGGTTAAAACAAGGGAACTGCTCCCTACCTCCCCTGTGAGCAGGCTGGTGTTTCACAGTATTGTTGTGAATATTCAGAGAGCTCTCTGCAAATGGCTTTCTTCCTGTCTCTGTTGTGTATCATTTCTTTTTTCGCTTTGAGTTGTGATTCTGAGTGGACCCCATCACCAAAGTCACTAAGACCTCCATGTACACCACAAGTCTTTCATCTCTGTCACATTACAACACCTGAACACTTTCCTTGGAGTCTTTTCTACTTTATCTGCTTCTCAAATCCTTTTCCTAACATCTTTTTAGATTTTTTTCCCCAGTGCTACTGCTCTAAAGTCTAATAATAATTTCTTTACAAAGATTAAACTTATTTTTCTTTTCTGTAAATTTCATATGGAAAAAATAAGAATTAGAGTTGGGTAGCATTGCTCCTTTGTAAAGCTCTTCAAATAAGTTATAAGTAATTAATTATAACAATTGTGACTTGCTGTATGCAGTCCACCACCGTATGGATTTTGCATGTTATAAGTAGAATGATAATAAATTTGGCCATGGAATAAATGTATCTTATATAATGACAGCTAACTTTTTATTGGATTGAATTAGTCTGTATATTGAAGTTACTGTATTAAAATTATCAGTCGATAGAAACCATTTATATCTTAATTAGTTTTCTGTTTTATTATAGTTTGCACTAGTCTTTTATTTCATTGTATTACATTTAATTGAACTAAACCAATAAATTTATGAACATTATTCTGTAACTCATCATACATTTTCATACCTGATATAATTTAATTCATTCCATGTGTTTTGTTTGATGTATTCTAATTCATTCCAGTCAGTCCAAATGTACTGTCTTCCATAGGTTATCCTTCCCTTCAAGTGGAACTGGAAACTCCCACAGGGTTGCACTACACACCACCCACCCCTTTCCAGCAAGATGATTATTTTAGTGATATCTCTAGCATAGAGTCTCCCCTTAGAACCCCCAGTAGACTGAGTGATGGGCTAGTGCCTTCCCAGGGGAACATAGAGCATTCAGCAGATGGACCTCCAGTCGTAACTGCAGAAGACACTTCATTAGAAGACAGCAAACTCGAAGACTCAATACCTTTAACAGAAATGCCTGATGCAGTGGATGTAGATGAGAGCCAGTTGGCGAATGTATGTCTGAGTGAGTATCCTCAATACCTCGGAAGTATGGCTGGGGTCCCAAAAGATGTTAAACCAGCAGAGCCACTGAAACAGACTAGTAAAGTAAGAGTAAGCTCTGAGCAGCAAGAGAAAGGAAAATCTGGTCCTGATGAGGAGATGACGGAAGAAAAACTCAGATCTCTATTTGAGGACATTCAACTTGAAGAAGGAGTAGAGTCTGAGGAGATGACAGAAGAAAAAGTACAGGCTATTCTTAAACGTGTTCAGCAAGCAGAACTGGAAATGTCTTCAATTGCAGGTTGGCAGAACGAGACATCAGGTGGAAACCTAGAGTCCCCTGCTCAAGCTCGAAGACTAACCGGTGGGTTACTAGAAAGACTGGATGACAGGTATGGCTCCATTTTAGAGAAAAGGAAAGCAAAACACAGGTTACATGTTAATTGCTTTAAATACCTGCTTTTTAGCACTTACTCTCTTGCTAAATTACCATTCCAGTTTGGGGATAAATACCTGCTTTAAAGGCTGGTTAATTCTGCTAATCTGGAGAGGGAAGCTTACCTGAAACTCCGTTGAATTCTTAAAATTATTGATAGTCTGAAGCAAAATACAAAAAGTTTTACATGCATGCTAAAGTTGTCTATGTTTACTTTAGAACACTACTCTTTTCTAGTTTGTGATTTGTTTGATTTTTTTTCATGAAGCTAGTAATTAACATGCTTTCAAAATAACATGGTAAATAAAACTCCATGTCTTTGAGAAATATAAACATTTCTATTCTTTTCTGACTTCAAGCTTCAAAATTCTTATGTAATTCTTCACTCCAAATAATATTGCCATGATAGAAATTTGATTATAACCAAAATAATTCCCTACTCGTGAACCTGGGTCTTTTTTATACCGGACTTCCTCTAGAAAGGTGAGAGTATACTGTCCTTCAGACATTGGTTCGAATCCCACCAGATTTGCATTTTGGGACTCTGGATGAATTTCTAAGCTCTAAGAACATCACTTTAATTGACTATAAGGGGCAACTGGGTGGCTCAGTCAGTTAAGCATCCAACTTCGGCCCAGGTCATGATCTCATGGTTTGTGGTTTGAGCCCTGTATCGGGCTCTTTGCTGGCAGTTAGCTCAGAGCCTGGAGCCTGCTTCAGATTCTGTATCTCCCTCTCTCTCTGACCCTCCCCTGCTCATGCTGTCTCTCTCTCTCTCTCTCTCTCTCTCTCTCTCAAAAATAAATAAAACATTTTAAAAATTTTTTAATAAAAATAAATAAATAAATAATTGGCTTTAAAAATAGGAATACTACCACTTTCCTTGCACAGGTTTACAGATTGAAGAAGGAAGCCTATAGAATGGCTACCAAATGACTGCTACAAATAGTCTGTCAGTAATAGTTGGCATTCTTTTTATTTATGTATACAGCAGACTGAACTATAATTTACTTCATTGGCAACTAGTGATAACTTGAGGTGTTTGTGCATTCAACTTAAGTTTATTTCATAACCATGTTTAATATTTTCATACAGCTGATAAAACTTCTTACTCAATAAAAATTCCCAAAGAGGGAGCTTATAACATTTTGCAAAAAAACAAGTTTACGGAATTCCTTTTGAAGAATAAGACCAAAGAATTCTGTGCTCACCCTACCAAAAAGACTGCTGCAAAGACAATAATACTAGTTTTGATATCTATGTTCTAATATAGTCACATTAATTTATAGTTGCATAGCAGGAAATAGATACAGTTACATTATAACATCTTCACAGTGTGCTGGGATATATGGAAGAGGCTGTGCAATGGATAGGTGTTTATATATATATATATATATATATATATATATATATAATCAGAATTTGATTCATAAGAATTCACATGTACTTACAGACATGTACATATATATATACAATACAGAACATTGTGCTACGTATTGCCTTCAGAATTCTGTAGGTAATAAGCAAAGACTCTAAAAACAATGCACAAGCTAGAAAATAAAATCCATACTGGATACCAGTAAATATTAGAAATCACTTTAAAAGAAGGTGTTGAGGAAAAAATAAAAGATCTGTAATAGTTCGTTGAAAGGAAAATAGTCCTCCCAGGAGTAAAAGCAGCAGGTGACAACAACACCCTGCTCACCAGTGGGAGGCAGCACAGGTCAGGAGCCAAGAAAGATGAGACCCAAGCAAGACTACTGTGGTTTGCAAAGGTGTGCTGGCAGGACTCACAATTGGAAACCCAGAGACTGGAACGTGGAGTCCTTGGGGATGCCAGGGCTCTCAAAGAATGCATTGTGTTCTCTGCCAGCAGCTCTTCCACTGGCAGTATAAGAGCTTTTTGAGATCTCTTTCTCCTTTACATTGGTGATTCTGGATCTCTGGGTGTGCCCATGAGCCTCTTGGGGTGACTTTCTAAGATCTCAAATCCAAGTATCTGTCACAGTGCAATTAAACAAGATAAAACAAAAACAAGTACGGCATAGGTAGGCAGGTTGGGAACTGGAGTGGGGAATGGGGAGCTGAGGCCGTGTGTAGCACCTTGTCACCCCCAAATTCAACCCCATGAGAGACCCTCACAGTTTGAAATCCAGTGACCAGATTTTTCATGTCTTTCTGTTTCATGCCTTCAAAAGTGGTGTAAAACATGGTGGTTAAAAATTTAGAGCTTCTGAAGCCCAGTTTCAGCCATGTATTGCCATTGTAAATGTCCACATACTCTCTTTTGCAGCCCTGATCAGTGTCGAGATTCCATTACCTCATATCTCAAAGGAGAACCTGGAAAATTTGAAGCAAATGGGAGCCACACAGAAGTCACTCTCGAAGCAAAGACAAAATCTTACCTTCCAGAATCCCAAAATGATGTAGGGAAACAGAGCACTAAGGAAACTCTGAAACCAAAAGTCCATGGATCTGGTCGTGTTGAGGAACCAGCATCATCATTAGCAGCCTATCAGAAAGCTCTAGAAGAAACCAGCAAGTTTGTAATAGAAGAGCCTAAACCCTGTGTGCCTCTCAGTATGAAAAAGATGAGTAGGACTTCCCCTGCAGATGGCAAGCCAAGGCTTAACCTGCATGAAGAAGAGGGGTCCAGTGGGTCTGAGCAAAAGGTATGCCATCTAGTTATCTGGTACACTGTCATTTAAACCAAAAGTCCTGATGCTTCACTTTGTTGGATTAATCTTGTAACACTGGGCCCAAGGTTCTTTATGATTTTCCTGTTGTAACCCTAATGGCGGAGATGAAGAAAGTGCTAGGTGGAACATATGCTGTTGGATTACACTTTCAGTCACTGAGAAGGAAAAAGTAATGAGCATCACTTCAGCCATTTTTCAGGAGGAGGGAGAACTATAGAGATGTTATGCTTAAGGTCCAATGTTAATTGGTCTGGTATTTAGGTTTCCTAACTCCCAACCCAATCTTCTTTCTCATGGAAGGAGGATAATTTTTCAGACCTTTTCTGGTGTTTCTGCATAATTTAAAGAGTTTATAGCATGTGATCCACCTAAGAGCTCTACCCTATAAGATCTGGTGTCTGAAAGTGCATTTTAGAAATTGGAGAAACATAGTGCCTAAGCCTAAAATGAGGTGGGTATATACCATGGTGGGTTGACCACATTTAGCAATTGGAATTTAGAGGTCTCGTTTTAATCATTTTTATGTCTAAGTTGATGATTATCTTAATATTCATTTTTAAAAATTTGAAAACCTTGCTGTCAGAGAATTACTTGCACTCTGTGCTCCATGTCCTTGTTCCATCTAATACATTTTTATTTGTTCTTTGAGGTTTATCCTTTTTAGATATTAAAAACTTAAAAACTCTGGAACTGAAATTATAGATGGATATAAGAAAATAAAAATTAGCTCTATTTCCTACATTTTTTTACTGCTTTTTGCTCTCTCCATTGTTGTGTCTTTTCCTGAACTGCGCAGTTGGTGTAGACTGAGACATGGGCATCTTTGGAACAGTAGCACCTGCAATTTTCCATAAAACATCAGGTTGGCTTAAGATCTACTGCAGAGTTTTAGGTAGGACCAAAAAAAGTCTTTTGTAAAATAGTGAATCCATAATTAACTCCTGGTTTAGATAAAACCTTGAATAGCAAACTCCCAGTCACTCAGGAGCTGATTATCACCTTATCAACTAATCATATCGTTTCCTTTTCCCTTCCGCAGGCTCTCTTTTGACCATTTTCCTGAGTGTTAGGAGGGAAAGTGAGGGGAAGTAAAATGGCCAGGACTTCCTTTCACTTCCCAACAAATGGGTTTTCAATATTGATTTCTTTTAGTTCATTCCAGTATATTTAAGCAGTATGACCTTGGATGTTCGCTTTTAAGATGAGTCCACAAAACAGAGAAAGAAGCAACAACATAGTGATGTCTTAACTATGAAAGTTTACTCTATAAAGCCTATAAAAAATCTATAGAGAAGGTCTGAAATCAAATGATCATATAAATGTAAATAAGTACTTCTATATATGTGCACATGCAAACACATTGGCCATTGGGGAACCAGGGAGAGGGCAAAAGAGGGTTTAAAAATGAAAGCCTTAACCCTGAATGGAAACTCAGCCGAGTTCATCAGTACTGGAACATAATTACTATTAGAAAATGTCTTCAAGATTTCTTATAAGTGACTTTGTGCTTTTGGGATTGGTCACTGGTCCTGCTCTAATGCCTGAAGTGTTCATGAGCATACAATTTTTAGTGGAGTTAGAGTTTCTGGGAGCTATGAACCTGACCTTACAAGAAATCCAAAAATATTCAGGACGTGCCCTTTGTGGCTAGACCATAGTGCATTAGCAACCAACTAGGTCATCTGATGTATGATCTCAGAAAACAGCCCCCTTTTTGTCCCCTAAAAAATCAGGTCAAAAGTCCGGGTGCGGCTCTTACACGGATGACTGTCTGCTGTTACAAGGTAAACTTCTGCTATTTTCCACCTCTTTCAAAGCAGTGACCCATGGCAGGAAGTACTGAGAAAATTGTTTGGTCTCCTTGTTATCTTCTTTGCCAATTCTAGAAAATTCTTTATAGGGAATCCTGATTATGATTCTACTACCATCTTCTCTCCACCCTCCACCTTCAGATTAGCAGGGAGAATGTAAAAACAAAACATCAGCCAAATGGCCCCTTTTTATTTTTATAATTATGTTAATTATAACATAATTGACATCTAGGCTTGGTAGTATTTGCATTAATGTATGTTCTGCTTTTTAATTACCCAAGTTAAAATCTTCCCCAGTTTATGATTATTTATGAACAATTCCAATTGAATTTTTCCCTTTCACCTCATCCAATCTATTGATCTCTGAATGCAGATTAGAAATTCTTTTTTTTTTTTTTTTTTTCACAATATGCACTCCTCTTCCCTTTTTCTGCTTCTTTGAGCCATTTTAGGGCCTCCTTTCACAATACTTGGATCCTTTTAAGTTTTCTGAATTTACAGTCTTTTATAAAAAAATCAAATTTCATAAGGAACTTAGCAGCCAATATATCTTTACAGGGAAAAAGAAACTTGAAAACTCTTTACTTTTGACACCATGTTATTCACTAGGGTATTTTGTTCAAATGAAATTTCTTACAAAGTCAAGATTGATATTACTTTAATATTTCAAAATATTTCTTAAGTATACCTTTGGTGGAAAATGGCCTACTTTGCTATCTATTTGACAAACATTCCATAAATCACTTTAGCTAACACACCTCCTATAGAAATTTTACTTTTTTCACCCTGTTTATACCAACACTGCCATTGATTTTTCCAATTTTTCCAGAAACTATAGTTCCTGTCTCTGGAACTATCAGATTAGGGACAACTGACAAACTTAGAAAATAAAATAGAATTATTATCAGAATTCCACCATTAAAATTTAGGAATAAAACATTTGGTAAATACCCTTCACCTTGGCATTGAAGTAGAAACCAAAGGTATTTTTACTTTTGAGTTATGAACTATGTGGTAATTCTTTATTCTCATTGCCTAAAAATTAATATTTGTGCAATCACCATATTCTTGTCTGTCAGGTGTTTTTTCTGTCCTAATTGCATATCAATTCTTTAATTTTTTTTAAGATTTATTTTTGAGAGAGAGAGACAGAGAGAGAAAGCGTGAGCAGGGGATGGGCAGAGAGGGAGACGCAGAATCTGAGGCAGGCTCCAAGCTCTGATTTATCAACACGGAGCCTGACTCAGGGCTTGAACTCACAGGCCACGAGATCATGACCTGAGCCGAAGTCGGACACTTAACTGACTGCGGCACCCAGGCGCCCCTTTTTAAAATTTTTTTTTTGATATCAGTTCTTTAAAGTAAGACTCCAAGCTTACACGTTTTGCATTATTCCTTCATTCATTTGCATAGCCTCTTACTGAGTACCAGTTGCATGTTAGGTGCCAATTACACTGCTAACAATCCCTGATATAAATGTATGTAGCAAATTATACTGACATAAATTCTTTACTTTTTTATAAAGTTCAAATAGCTTTTGATAAAGTTGTCAAATCTGACCAAAATCTCATAAAAATCAGACATACTATGCCTCTTTATGTAATGAAAGTTCAAATGAATGTAGATTTAAAACTATTTTTAGGGGCGCCTGGGTGGCTTAGTCGGTTAAGCGTCCGACTTTCGCTTAGGTCATGATCTCGCGGTTCGTGGGTTCGAGCCCCCCGTCGGGCTCTGTGCTGACTGCCAGCTCAGAGCCTGGAACCTGTTTCAGTCTGTGACTCCCTCTCTCTCTGACCCTCCCCTGCTCATGCTGTCTCTCTCTCTCCTAGAAAAAAAAAAAAAAACTATTTTAATATAAATATTAATTTTTCTTCAGACTAGTAATTAGTAGCATTGTAGTTTCTGATGCCAAGATGTCTCTTATTATTATTTTTATTATTTAATTACACTGATCTTTACCATTTATATGCACATATAACGTATGCATTACTACATGCACAAGCATACTGTATACATACATACACAGAGGAATTTCATTTAGAATCCTGCTCAAAATTTTCTTTCACTTAAACTTTTTTAAAGATTCTCACAAATACATATTATGATTCTCATTAGCAGGGAAAACCAGCAAATGAAAGTAATTCTTTTTTGATTTCCCTTCTCAGAATGTCTTTTATTTTAAATGTGATGGTAAAATTATTATACTAAAAAATGCATTTATCAGGACTTGAAAGACAGTGAGAGTGATTCGAGCTCAGAGGAAGAACGGAGAGTCACTACCCGAGTTATTCGCCGGCGTTTGATTATAAAGGTATCCTGTAGCCGGATCGTGATGGGGCATCGCTATGTGATTAGAAAGTCCTTCCTTGTGGTCTTGAAAATTCAGCATGCCTGATAACTAAGTGGCTCTGTATGTTTCTTTGCATATTTGAAAGCTTGTAAGAACACCCAGCAGCAAGGAAAAGGTTGTGTCGCATGGTAGTGAGTATTCTGTCAAAGCCTGTGCTTGACATGTAACAGCTATAATTTTGTCTGGGAATTCTTGGCATTTGTATCCTGCTTTCCCTGAAAGTGTTATATGTGAGCAAAGATTTTTATCTTGGTTCATATCAAATGAAATGTTTCAGTTGAAACCTCCGAGGCCATAGTGAGATATGAGGTCAGATCCAGAAGGAGAGTGAAGTAATTAAAAGCCTCCTTCCTCAACCTCAAATTCCTACTGCCTGAACAGATCTTAAGTCAAAACAAGTTCTTTATCACCAACCAGTGGCTGAGAATTTGGAGTCATAGCCTGGCATCAATATGTGTGACATAAACAAAATTGGGCAAAACCTTCTGAAAAAGGCTTTTGACTTAAATAACATTCAGAAAATCAGTCTGTCTTTTTATGTATAGGAAGCAGTTTTTACTGGAAGTGAAAAATAAAATTCTCCCCCTGCTACACCACAGTTGAACACTATGAATTAACTTTCATTTCCTCCACAAAGGCCTTTTGAAGCATTGACTTTATGCATGGTAAGGTCCAGCACAACGCTTTTCACAGCCTGTGCTTGTCTTCATTACTCTGTCTTTAGAGGGAGATTTCTTGAAGTTAGAATAATTGACTGCAGAAACTAGGAAGCCATTTTCAACATATAGGGCTTTGAAGGTGGTCCAAATTACTTGAGGCTCCTTGGTTGACAGCTCTGGAGAAAAAGGAAGGAAGGGAAATATGTATTGAAAACCATTTATCAAATTTATCCTCCCTTTCGAAAGTGTCAGGAGACCCAGCAGAGAGCAGAGAAGTTGGCTTAGGTATCTAAAACTTTTTAATCCTGCTGCTTGTACTTTCCATGTAGATCAGATGAAAGAAGAGGAGAAAATCTGCCAAATCTGCTCTAGTATAGTTTTTCTAAGACTCTGGAATCATTAGAGAAGAAAATAAGTCTTTGTCTAACTAAATCTTAAACTATGTGCAATCAATCTTGAGCTCAATAGACAGCTGTCAAAAAAAAAAAAAAAAGCATGAATCACTTCTTTGAAAATTCCATATAGGCAAGCCAAATTACTTATGAGGGTCCAGTGTATCCAGCATATTTGCAAGTATTCAGCCTGCCATCCATAGAATCCTCATAATCAGTCACCTCCCACATGTTCCCTGGGATTAGGGGAAAGAAATAACAAAGGTTTTCTGAAGGAGTGAAAGCCATAGTCTTTGCTCAGGAAGGCTTTGCTCTTCCCAGAATCAGTGTCTTTAAGAAATGATATTTTAAAGTGAAATGTCCTAAAAAAGCACACCAGACATATTGTCTTGTAACTTGCTTTTTATTTGAATATGTGACATACTCATGTCATATCCAAATCCATCTCACTCCTTATAAGCTGCTCATTATATAAGTTGACTCTCCTGTGTATAGGACAGAAGAAAATAAACATAATCCTGCAAAAAAAAAAAAAAAAAAAGAAGAGGGAGAAGATAAAGAAGTTTTACTCTGAAGAATACAAAAACAAAATAATAGAAACACAAAACCCATCAAATCAATAAGGGTTATTTTGCTTGGTCTTCTAGAATTCTAGACATGCATTAGCAAGCTAGCTTTTAAGTAATTTTGTTAGAGTGTGTTATTTATATATTTGATCGTAATATAAAATTAATTATGTATAATATATAAACATTTTTATTAAGGGCTTAACTTTAAAAGACTAAATTACATTATGCTGGCTTCATAAAACAGAGGAGTCTATGTTCTCTTCAAATCCCCTCTTGAAGTTTAATTTTAGGGAGGTTGAGTAGAATGATCAGAACATGGGTTTTATAACTGGGGAGTGCATTGTATAAACAATAAAGTCACTCAAACAAACTTGGAGAAACTAAACCCTAAAAAATTGCTATAATTATAATAGAAACTATAGGTATAATAAAAATCTTCATAAATTACATAGAATTTGTAGTATCTTTCTGATTACTCTTTTTCTGTTCAGAGTTTTGGGGGTTAGAAAGGATCACACTTCTGTTGCTTTTCTCTTCACTCCATATGTTGGTATCTTTCTGAGATAAAAGAGCTGGAAAGTGCTGTCGTATACAGTAACTGTGATATGGGAGCCACATCTGTCAAAAACATGTAAGAAAACATTAGGATGGAAAGGGATCATTGATACTAAAATCACTTATTTTCCAAGATGACAAAACCAAGGGATTGGAGAGCAGTCAGTTTAGCCCAAATCACACAGCAGCACAGTAGCACTTCTGGAAGCCCCCAGCCCTGAACCTAATCTTGAGCCCTCCAGTGCGGCACCTTCTACCTGCTTTTTCCACACTACTGTGTTCTCCAAAATAAATAAAAAAAAGACTAACTTGGGGCGCCTGGGTGGCTTAGTCGGTTAAGCGTCCGACTTTCGCTTAGGTCATGATCTCATGGTTCGTGGGTTCAAGCCCCGCGTCAGGCTCTGTGCTGACTGCCAGCTCAGAGCCTGGAGCCTGTTTCAGTCTGTGACTCCCTCTCTCTCTGACCCTCCCCTGCTCACACTGTCTCTCTCTCTCTCTCCTAGAAATAAATAAAACATAAAAAAAAAAGAGAGAGAGACTAACTTCTCCTAGACCTAATTAGACACTTGGCTATTTAGACTTTTCCGGCAGCCTGGAAGAGAGCAGCAATGGGCTGTCTCTCCTGGAAATTATCTGATGAGACTGGAATGCTGAGAATTTGGCCTGTTTCATGGAGGTTGTCCAGCATTGGGCTGAACTAGCATATTTATGCTGTTTGCCATAGTGATCCCTCTAACACTTAGGATCTCGGAGTTGAAAACTGTTGTGGGGTTGTTCCATCCCTCTCGGGACTAACTGTGGCTGCACAGTACCCACACAAGCAATAGGTGTGCTCAGGATTTCGTTACAAGTCTGGGTGAATCCATCTTCTTAGCCATTGAATTTGTACAACTGATGGGGTGAAAGTATAATTTTACAGATTTGTCTCTGTAATGTCATATGCAGGTTCATTTTTTTATGAAGTTCTTTTATTTTACATGTACTATATTCCAGTCTCTAAGGAATGAGCCCAATGAACAAACTCTTCCAATCGTGTGGGGATTTTTAGATTTTTTAAGCATATTCATTTATTTCTATATAATTTGATAATATCACAGTTATTTCAAAGGCTTAGAAGCAGTTTAAGTAAATTAACCAGTGCTATGGGCTTGTTTATTTGCTTAGCAAAGAGAGTGATTACAGAGGTAAAAACTTTAATTCACAGTCAAACCTGTGAAGTTTAGTAGGATTCAAATAACTGAATTTTTATTGTATAGTTCAACTGTATTTTTATTTCTACTTTTGAACTTTTTCACTAACTTCTGAATTAAGAATTTATATATATGTTTTCCCCAAATCAGGCAATTCAAAAGTATATAAAGTTTGGTTTACTCATTCCATTTCCCATAGGTAACCACTTTTCATGAGCTTCAGATTATGTTTATGTACATATATATGTATATAAAATGTACATGTATGTTATATACATGTAAACATGTATTCCCCAAAGTGGGTTTCTCAGAATATAAAAATGGGTTATACTACCACATACTGTTTAGTTACTTGCCAAGTTATATATGTTCCATATGTGGTATCATTTCCACTTGAGGAAGAAAGCTAAAGTTTTAATGTTCTATACATCTGGCAAATTGGTACATTTCGTACTGTTTTTCTTTCCTTTTATTCAAGGACAGAGGCATAGAAATTATAAATGGCAGTGCTTCCAGCGGAGGTCCAAAGGGAAGGACAGCTAGTCTTCATTAAGGTGGCCACCAGGGATGACACTGTGACGCCATATGTGCTGTGATTTTCCTCTGAAGTAGGAAAAGAAAAAGTGGGAGGAGGTGTTGCCAAAAATAATACCATCAACAAGGCCAGGGGGGAAATTTTGCCTACTTAAAAGTACAAACTGTTTTCTAGAACTTTAGGAACTAATTAGGGGTTATTTTCTGTCATTAAAGATGGATGATTTTTTTTTTTAAAAAAACATGTTTTTCTGACTCCTGTCTTCCCTCTTTATATAATCAATTCCTAACTAATTTCCCCCAACTTAGTGAGTTTCTACATCATCAACACAACTTACTTTGGCCTTATTAAAGCACTAATTGACTGTATTTAATAGTCAATTATGATTGAGAGAGGTATCTTTATCTTGAGAGCTTGTTTGGAGGTTCTAGCCAGGGAGCGCAGCTACTCATATACACTTGACCTCTATCGGGGAAGGTCATCCTCTTCAACTGAGCGCCCAGCTTCGGGAGGGACGCACATGAGCAGTGAGGGAGGAAGGGAACACCCGCCTAGCCAGCAAGATCAGCCGAATCAACTCTGGAGATCAGTGGGGAGACAGGATGTCGCAGCCGGATCGCCCTCACAAGAGAGAGGTATCTTTATCTTTAGCCATATATAAACAGTATGGATTTTCAGTAGGAAACAATGAAAATACCTATATGCCAGGCTAGATCTAAACAACCTCTATGGCTTCTTATTTATTAGGGCTTTACTTTTTTCTAAGTCTATTAATATAAATCAATTTACTTCTGTTATTCACTATATTTATAAATATATGTTCTTTCACATTTCTCTCAGAGACTTTCCAAACAGTTAACTGGCATCTTTTCCCACAAAAGGATCCATTCATAATGTCTCCAGTAAGATTCAACTTTACTGGATTTTCCTGGGATCCTCAAATTATCTACTATGCAAAAAACTAGACATTTTCCACAGTTAGCTCAAAAACATTTCATTTATTCATGTTTAAACTGTAATGGAATCTTTCATCATCTTTTATTGGCTTTTCTGCTATCTTTATGCCTTTATCTTCAACATAAAATGAAATTTATGTTTTTTCCCTAAATATATGAAATGAACCACAGGAAATATAAATAACACTTACATAAAAAGTTGCTGCAGATTTTAGTGTATTTAAGCATGAGACCTCCCTCTACATTTTTCCAATTCCCTTCCCTCTCTTAACTGTGCTAATTGAAGCAAATCATAAGCAAGAGCCAAAAGAAGCTAAACATGAGCAGCAAGAAGTATTTTGTTGTATTTTCATCCCACCTCCCTCCTTTTCTACCACAATGAGGAAAATGAGCCCATGTGTCACCCAGTCATGAGCTATGACCCCATAATCTATAAGAATACAAGGTCACTTTGTAAAAAGAAAAGAATGAAAACAGAATTTTGGTATCAAAACAAGATAATGGTTTAGTCTTTACTCTGTCATTTTAAACCAGCAATGCCTTTCTACTGGCTGTAACATAAAGCAGTCACAGAATGTTCTCACCATTGGCTGATGCTGACAAAATTATCAGAGCTACTACCTTTTCTGGGCCAACAACACTGAAAGAGTTAGAATCCTGGCTTTCCCAGAAATGTAGCTATCAACTTTGTGATCCACCATTTTCCCTAAAATAACCCCAGGTGAACAACAACTATGGTACACTCTTCTACAGCCTTGTCCCAGCCACCTTTTCAACAAGAAGTCTGACTAACAGGTCACTAGGTCTATAGAGTGGAGACCACTTAAGATATTTGTCCCTGTTCCCACAAACTAAGTGGCACTAACTGAAAGTTGAGTACCAGTGAAGAAGGTAATATATTGCTAATATAGCCCTGTTTTTGCTCTCTGAGTGGTTTTTCTTATTGTACAATCATAGAGCCAAATAGGGAGATATTAAGGAGACATCTAAATCTACCAAGCTGGAAAATATGAGCCCATCTTAGGGAGTTAAGACTTTATATCATTTTTTAAACTCACCAGAGGAAGGTCTTTGACAGTTTCCCCTTCTAAATCAGATAACAATCGCTAACTGAAAGATACCATCAGCTTAAATTCCTTTAGTACTGACCTTTTCTTTTCTTTTTTGTCTGTGGCAATGGAGATTAGATGACCCATCATCACATAAGACCCCTTCACTTGGAGATAGTATTCAGAAATTATATACCCCATCAGATATAGTTATTTTCATTTATTTTAGGACCTCCAAAAGGATGATTTTCTCTGTACTCTGAACTTCACTTAAAAAAATGTCTATCTTACCCTTAATAAATGAATTTTTGGATGAAAAAATAACTCTAACAAGGAAAATGAATGTAATGCCCCAGCTAAGTTACCATCTTAATTTAGATTAAGCAAAATGCAACCTAAAAAGTATTTCAGAGATTTGGTAGTACTGATTCAGAAACACAGTGCTCAAAATGAGGTGATCTAATTAGAGCTCTAATCATTGGCTAATTTTTTTTTTCAAAATGAAATCTTTTGGTTTGCATAGCATTGTGTAACTGTGTTTTTTATAGTTCTTCCTTCTTGGAGTTGACTGCTAACCATCAGTCTTGTCCATACCTAAGGTTTAATGTTCTGAATGTTGTTGCCTGCTAAATAACCATCAGAGAAGTCCGCCTTTTCCCCCTTGCCTGAAGTAACAAGTAGAATTTATACTTTCTTTTTCTAAAACTCCGCAGAGCATGTGTGTGGCATATGAAGTGGTGTGGAGATCTGTCTGTCTAGTATGTTGCTAATCTCTATACCACATCCTTTAGGGAGAGGAAGCAAAAAGCATTCCTGGTGAATCTGTCACAGAAGAACAGTTTACTGATGAAGAAGGCAACCTCATCACCAGAAAAGTAATCATCATTGGGATTTTATGCATCTCTTGGGATTTAGATTTTCTACTGTTTGCTGTAGTGTCAATACTTGAAACAGAAAACAGAAAAATCTCTTTCACTGTTGCTTCCTACAGATTACTCGGAAAGTAATAAGACGAATTGCTATCCCACCAGAGAGAAAACATGATGACATGGTAATGGAGAGGGGCTGCCAGAGAAAAAGCAGAGGATAAACGCTTTGTGAACTTTCTAGAACATGCTCCTAACAGGCTGGCATCTGCAGTGTGGCAGCTTGAAGCACTTGCTGCTTTTGACATCCTGTGCATTTGATCAGGGTCAAAGAAAAAGACTTTTCTTCTTAATGTTCTTCAACATTATATATTTTTTAGTGTCTTCAGAGTTTTCAGAGATAAGTTCATTTGTGGAGAATAGAATGTGCTGGTTTGAGCATGGGAGAGAAACGAAACTAAAGCTGTCTCTCACCACCAGACCCCTGGGCAGGACCTTCCCCCTGCCCCCACCTCCGCCTCCCTGCAGCACTTTGCCTAGAGCTTAGTGCCTGCCTGGGAGGACGGTGGAGAGCACCTGATGGAGGGCACTCACTTCCAGCAGATGTACAGAGTTTCAATGTTAGAATGGCAAAAAGCTCACATTAAGATCCTTACATCAAATCTATACATTTTCCCTTTCCAGTATGTTCTATAAGGAAGTCTGAATTCCCCCATCTTAACTGGAGGAGGGCTCTCCTCTTTGGATGTATAACAGCCCATTTCCAATGTGCCAGTTAAAGAAATAATCTTAACCACTGTGCAGTGTAACTCAGAAGATGAAACTCCATCTCCCAGGCAAAATACCTCTGGCTGCTTGTCACTCCTTTCCTTTTCTCATTTTGAAAATAGAAACTCCAATAGCCCATGTTTACATAAGAAAAAGTGCACTGAAAATTTCTCAAGACTAACTCAGAAGATTAGAAAGGCTACTGTGTTTCTGTTGTAAAGTGGGTAAAAGTGAAGTATTTGTATAATTTTGCTCTCAGGGAAAAGTGTCCCTGGTGCTCAGTGAAGAGAGGTCTTGTTTTATGGAAAATGGATGCCTGCTTGATCTGCACTAAGAAGGAGGGGTGGGGGTTGGTAATGCCACACACAAAACAGTTCCTCAGATCAACAACATTCACATGGTGGTTAGTTCATGATCAGTGCTTTCCTGAGAAATTTTAGTCTCAACACAACAGATTGCTTAAAATTCTGTTGGCTTAAGAAGAAATACTAATATTTTTTATAATTGGAGTTTGGGTGCCTTGAGAGCTTTGGTGATGATTTCTTTTAGCTTACAAGGAAATGAACAGGCTAACTCATTGTTTTAAATTTTATCACTAACCTTTTAAAATTTTTTATTTATTATTATTATTCTTTTTATTACCACTAACCTTTTATTTATCACTAACCTACCAAGTTACTCCGAAGTATAGTTGTATTACTGTATTCATTCTGATGGTGCTTTCTAGCTTGCCTCGATGATGCCAGGCTTGTGTGGTTACGCGAAATAGATTGTGTGTACTTTGAGATGTGAAGTGACAAAGTGCTTTAAACTGTGTTTCACGTACCTAATCCAGCCTCAAGGGACCAGAATGGGAACCACTCTATGACTAAAACTCTTTTACTATGAAATCTTAATGCATACATTCCTTTTTACAGCAGGGAGAAGGTTATAAGGTGAAGACAGTGAAGAAGGAAATCCGGCATGTGGAAAAGAAGAGCCATTCATAACAGTAAACGGTTAGTCAAGGCTATAGGTGTGCTCATATCAACAACAGTCGGCCTTAACTTCCTGTGAAAACTCTCCTTTTGCTGATGTGTGATTCAGATATCCCCACCCCCCTGCCCTCCTCTCTTTTTCACTGAATTCCAGCTTTGAATGTCCAGTATGAAGTTATTGGAGTTATTTCTATATTTACATATGCATCCGCACACACATACTCCATTCACAGTTCATAAACTTTCCCCTCACAAACTAGTCAGGAATTTTAACTGTAAGTGGTGTTTGCAGAAGCAAATGTAAACAGTGATTTTTGAGTCCCCTGTAAGAGCAGAGGCTCCACGTGAAATGTGGTAGCATTAGGCGGCCTGACAGGAAAACTGTGGCAACAACCAGTTCTTAACCGACGCGCTCTCAGATTTGTGCACATCCAGCCTTTCACCATTTTAGCAAAATGATCTCTAAGAACTTAATTTCAGTTGAAATAGAGTGGTTGCCAATTTTAAATTAAATGGCAAGATCCCTATATACCACTTGGTAGATCTTCTAGAAACCAGGGCAAATTAAATGGAAGGTAAATGGAGTATTGTTTTTTCAATTTTTTTAAAAAATTATTTAATGTTTATTTAATTTTGAAGGAGAGGGAAAGAGACAGAGTATGAGCAGGGGAGGAACAGAGAGAGAGGGAGACACAAAATCCAAGCTGTCAGCACAGAGCCCGACACGGGGCTCGCACTCACAGACCGCAAGATCGTGACGTGAGCTGAAGTCGGACACTTAACTGACTGAGCCACCCGGGCACCCCTGGACTACCATTTTTTTAAGTGAAATGTTTGGTGAATTTTGCTTAATTTTGTCTGAACTTTTCTTCATAGATGAGGATACTTTTAGGAAACAGTGTTTTCTAAGTTGTACATTGTCCTATTATTTTTAGCTATACTTATGAAAGGTCATTTCCTAAGCATGAGAAAAGCACATGGAGCTCTTGAAAAGAAATTTTAAAAGGTCTCCTGAGTCTGTGAGGCAAAGTAGCCTGATTTCTCAAGGGCTGCGCACCAGCAGTTCTCTTAGCCCTACTGGTCAAAATGACAAAGAATATATAGATTCTGGTTTTTACTTGCACAGGTCTTCTTTCCCCAGTGACCAGAATCCTGGTACTGCAGTGTGAATGTGAGGAACCGAGAACTCTATTCTCATGCCCTGAATTTTGTATGTGACTTAACTAAGGCCCAGATAAATCCCTCTTTCTAAGTTTTAATTCCAGTACAGTTAACATATTGTGTAATATTAATTTCAGGAGAACAATATAGGGAGTCAACAATTCTATTCAACACCCAGTGCTCATCACAAGTGCCCTCTTTACCTCGCCTCGACTATTGCTCCCATTGCCCCACCAACTTCCCCTCTGGTAATCATCAGTTTGTTCTCTATAGTTAAGAGTCTGTTTCTTGGTTTGCCCCCTCTCTTTCTTTTCTTTCCATTTGCTTGTTTATTTTGTTTCTTAAATTCCACATATGAGTGAAATCATATTGTATTTGCCTTTCTCTGACTGACTTATTTCACTTAGCATTATACTTTCTAGCTCCATCTATGTTGTGGCAAACGGCAAGATTTTGTTCTTTTTATGGCTGAGTAATATTCCATTGTATGTATGTGTGTGTGTATATATATATATATATATAATCATTTTATTCACCTGAGATCTAGGCTTAGGGTTAGGATTAGGGCAAGGGTGAGGGTGTGTGGCTATTATTGTAGGCCCAGGTAAATTCCTAATCCCTCCCTCTCAAAAAACCTTACCATATGTTTATTCACTCCAAGATTTATTTCACTTTATTTCCATAATGCTTTCTACATAGGCACTGAGAAACTCTTGGTAGACAACATAAGCATGGTACTTGCCCTTATTGAGCTTGTTTTGGGGATTTAATGTTAACCAATCATAACTAATCACATCAGTATAACAGCACTAAGAAAACTACCAAGAACTGCAGAACATTCTGGAATTAACATTTGTTAATACTTGTTAAGTACTTAACAAGTATACTTGTTAAGTGTTCTACTCTGCTCTTCATTCTCACAGCTAACCCTCTTGGACAGATGCCTTATCATCCCTATGTAACAGATAAGGAAATAGGGCTCAAAATGCCCAACATCACATAAATTTTTCAGAAACGTGATACAAACCTGCCACCAGAGCCAAAACCATTAACATCCTCAACCATGTTAACTGGAGACCTGAGGTCCGAGCTGACAGGGAGAGCTTCCTTGAGAAAGTGATATTTGAGCTCAATTTTAAAGACTGAGCAGGATGTGACTGGGTGAAGGAGGGAAGTTTGACAGCGTCTGGGGTCACCTCTAGGTACATGCAGCAGCACTCCACAGTGGCCAGAATGGGGAGGAACAGGAAGGGAGAAGTCAAGAGAACAGGTCAGTGCAGCTGGCAAAGAGTTTGTCCCTTGGGTCTGCAGAGGTAGGAAAGGTGGGAGTTGTCAGGCCGCACAAGTCTCTATAAGGATTCTGGTCTGCATACTAACAGCAGAAGAGAAGCAGTGAAGAAAGAGTCTCAGGCAAGGGTGGGGAATGGTTCAATGTGTATGTTCTGCATCACTCGCTCTCGCTGCAAAGCACAGATGTACCAGAGGGGGGCAATAACAGATGAGCAGAAAACCAAGTAAGAACCTATTGTAGGTGCTGGCTTGGAGTGGGAGAATGTTAAGAGGCAGGATGAATCAGGAGAAATCAACATGACTGCTTTCCACACAGGGTGAGAGATGAGAAAATGATGGATGACATCAGTGCTGCAATATCTAGAATGAACCCACTTGTTATGTGTGTGTTACAGCTGATCCTGGTGCAAGACATATCTAGATACATAGAAATGAATAAAGCACTAAGCGTAAGTTTGTAGTCTTGACTTAGTCCATTTAAGCAGTTGTCAGTGGTAAGTGAAATGAATCTAGAAGAGAGTTCAGTCAGCTTTAATATGCACCTCAACTTTTGCCAGCTAGTTCAGTCAGACCCAGACTCTGGATAGGAAAGAACCAAAGTGGTCGCCCATAACATTGGAGCCATTTTTCTAGAGCACCATCCACCTAGTATATGTGAATAAATGACACCAAAAAACTATGACTGTGCTAGGTCCTTTAGACATGACATGGTCACGAAATGTACAAGAAGTCTTAAAATTACACATAACCCACCCCATAACAAAGTTGTCAGGATCTTGGCTCACATGCTATACCACTCAAAGGAGACAGAAACTCAGCATAAAGCAAACTTAATATGTCAGATGGAAAGAACAGTGATTTAACTGTAAGCCTCACATTACTCTCTGGCGTGGTATTTACCTTCCATAAGTGAACTTGGGAAATGAGTCCAAGAATACCACCTGGAATTCCAGGACACTGAATCTGTGCTCTGGAGAAATCAATTTGCAAATATATTGAGAGTTTTTATATCCCTGCTGGCTGCCTTTTTTTTTTTTTTTTTAAATAACAAAACAACTAAGCAAGTGGAATGCTGCCAAATTCACGGAGTCTCAGATGGCGACATCAAAATTTTTATTTCCCATTTTAGAACCAGTTAAACTTTGAGCTATCTGAACCCTGCACCTGCTTTTCTTTCATATCAAGTCAGTCATCCTATTTTTAATGTAAGGGAAAAGCCAAGGCTTTCAATAGCTATAAAGATGTGTACATAGTGTGTAGTGATTTATGGTTTACAAAGTGCTTTTACATTTTTGTCTTATTTAATCCTTCAAACAAGCTTCTAGTTAGGTTAGGCAGTTTTATTTGCTACCTTTTGCAGATGAATATTCCAAGGCTCCAAGAGGTCAGTGACATTTCTACTGTCATACAGCCTATGATTGGTAGAACTGGGACCGAAACTCAAGATTATTGATACTCCACCTAGTGCCCTTTCTGTTATACTTAGCTGCTGTATTTCTATAATTATGAATAATAATAGTCATGTTCTAGCAAATGATTACTATATGTCAGATACTAGGTAAGATCATTACATACATTACTGAATATAATCCCCAACACAATGCTGTAAGGTAAGTACTACTCTGAAGACCAAAGTTGAGAAAAGTTAAATGATTTACTCAAGGTCCTGTACAACTGATGAGCAAGAAAATAAAATTTGAACTCATCTGTTTTCTAAGTTCTTAACTCATATTCATAGTTAAATAGTATTTGATGATGATGAGAGACCTAAAAGCAAATGTTGAATCAAATAGGTGTACATAGGCAACCTTTAGTAAATGTCCTCATGTTATACACAGTGGAAATACTCATAGATGTTTGTTCTTTTTTAAAATAAAGCAGAACTCCATTTTGAAGGTAGCCATAACCTCTGAGTGTTTACTTTGTGAGTACCATTAGAGGGCTGATTAGTGAGGCTGTAGCAGGGAGGGTCCCCAGATGTAGCCATAAAAGATTATGGAGCAGCTGTATTCCAAACCTCTTTTGGGGGACAGGCTTAGAATCTCACAGCCATGTGGAAGCCAAGAATGACAGTGCTTGCCAAGGGCAACACTTTTTCTCAACCAGAAAATTGGTTCATTTTTTTTCATTTCTTCAAAAAATATTTGACCTTTTGCCTGGCTGATAGTGGAGAGGCTACAATGGTGTTCAATGGTGAAGAACACTTCCATGGGCCCCGCCCTTCCTGATCCCTCAGCCTGTATGGGACAGATGCTTAAGGGCTAAAAGTACGAAGTCCAATATCCAATAAAAGAATAATGCAGAAACATATTTAGACTTTTGGGGGCTAGGAAGGTCACTTTGAAGTCATAACATTTAAGGGCACCTGGCTGGCTCTGTCTGTGGAGCATGTGACTTGATCTCGAGGTTGTGAGTCAAGCCCTACATTGTGTGTAGAGATTACTTAAAACTAAAACCTTTAAAAAGAAAAAAAAAAAAGAAGTCATGACATTTAAACTAAGACCTCATAGGTGGCGCCAACCATGAAAAGAATGGGTAAGAGGAGACACAGACTCCAAGCAAAGGATATG